CACGATTTTATATGCTACAAAGCAGTCTCTTGATCAAATTGTTCCCAAAAATCAACAAGCAACCTACAGTCATGAAGAACCGCACTCTTCGTTTGCTAAGCCGCAAAAGGCACTGTTAGGCGGAAAACAAACGAACTGAAAACAACGGCGCGTACGGGTAACACAAACATATAAGTAACACATGCAGAAAGACAATAAGAAAAGATAGGCTTCATTATCAGATGAAGCTTATCGTTGAATATGTCTCTAATCCGAAAACCTTGTTTCGTTACGCAGCCTCTGGGCCAGGTATGGTTCATTTTTCAACACTGAGGGAAGCAGCTTCAATCCTGGTAACACTGCTTAAAGTGATGTTCTCATACTCGCTAAACCTAAGCAAACTGCCGAAAATTTGGTAGCTGGCTCACATCATCCGATCTTCAAAGGGGGTTGACACAGCGAAACTCCAAGCTGTCAATCGGTGGCTCCTCTCTCTATAACTTTAAAAATTATAGAGTCCCTAATATGCGACGGTATGCACAACAGCACGGTTTCAGGAATGGTCATTCTTGTATAACCAACCTGCTGGCTGTGGCGGACAGATGGACAACCATCCTTGATCGTAAGGATAAGGTTGACGTCATTTACCTTGATTTGTCAAGGGCTTTTGATAGGGTCAAACATATGTGTCTAATCGATAAGCTCAAACGATTGGGCATCAAATCACCTTTGATTGATGGCTCACTTCATATCTAAAAACTCGACATTTTAAGGTAAGTGTTAACTTCACTTTCTCTCAGGCTATGGAATGTCCTAGTGTGGTCAGCAAACTTCAAAAGAGACAGTCATAAAACGGGTAGACAAACAAGGACGCGCAATGAAAACAGGAGGAGGGATGTTGACAGAGCTACTATCGATGGAGCATGTAAAAACATTGGTGATGATATGTTGAAACTCAGCACTATCATAATATCAACGGTAATAGACTTCTTCAGCAAACTTGAGTCTCCCAGAGAAGGACCCTTGAATGCAACGGTGGTTCCCAACACTCTGTAAGTGATTGGGCCTCGTTAATAGAGTTAAAAAGGACCTGGCGTCACCGTCCAAGAAGTTGAACTTCCCAAGTATTGTAGGGAAATAAACTGGTGATTTGGCCGCACAGTCTATCCTCAAGAATGTTCGTCCGATTATCAAAGATCCTAGGAATCGGAAACGCACTTCGACCTCCAAACAACAAGATTCTTAACCGGAATGATCCCGTTAACCTGAGAAAACAATGACTGTTTGCGAAGATTCTCTCATAATCATGAACCTTAAAGACAACCCTGACCTTCCCCTCAGTTTGCAAGACAACCATGACAGGACGCTCTGAAGAAAGTCAAATAAGAAGCTCGAACCTTCCAAAATAAAGCCTTTGACGGTGCTAGCCGCTTGTATGCAGCACTCAAGTTTAGGATGTACGAACACTGTATACAAAGTCAAAAACGTTTTAGCGTCGACATGAGTAAAAGCCCTACGTAATGACCATAAAGTTCTAAAAGCTTTGGTGGCCATTGCACGGCAGTGTGCAGTAGTCTTTAAATCTTGGCTAACGATGACACTTAAGTCATTATGTGTCTGGACAACAGATAGTAAGGATGATTCAGTGTCCGGGTCGTACCTAGTCGCTTCTTTCACATGTTGCACTAGGGCACATGTTATAACCACATCAACTAGTTCCCGCTCGAAGGAATTATCTGATGATTCGGTTCGCAGATTTCCTCAGTCTACCATAGGTGCATTAAAGTCCCCTAGGATTAGACATCGATCGCTTTGCGACCAATTTTTGAGCCTGTTTAGCAGGACATCATTTACCTCGCAGCTTGGACTGAGATAGACCAAACCAATTAGCAGCTCTTGCCCATGAATTTCAAGCGGCAACTAGCCAATTCACCTGTCCCACTTTCATGGGATACATTATCAATAATGACAAACGGGATAGCATTCCTAATGAATAGAGCTACTACCCCTCCTTTACGCTTATGTATTCTGTCGGTCCTTACTAAAGTAAAACCCTCAAAATTGAGTTCTATATTATCTATAGACTGTGTCAGCCAGGTTTCTGTGACTGCGATTATGTCTGGCTTTGTAGAGTCAATCTGTTCACCCAGTTACGATCGCTTATTGAGCAAGCTTCGGCACCATTCTCTGACGAAGCCTCACAACCCGAAAATTTACTATTTTCAGGTCCTTTTCTCCAGCGTCTAACCTAATTTGAAGTTCTTTTTCGGCTTCCCGTCTTTTTACACGGTCTGCCAAGGGCAAGTCCTTTCATATAAAAACTTCCGAACCCTTTAATTTATGTCCATTCTGTAAAATTAAGTCCCTTTAATTCGAAGATTTGAATACTACTTCAAGCAGTCTGGATTGATTAGGCTTCAAGTTCGTTAGACTACTTTTGGCAAGGTGACTCCGGAGATATTTTGAGGCATGAGTTGATTAAGTAGCTGTTTTATGAGAACAATGTCATGCTCTAAACGAGTTTTTGGTTCAGAGCTTTCGCTCTCCTTGATCCTATGAAAAATGCTGATCTGTCACTGTGATCAGCCTTCGATTTCTCGACTACTTTTATGGGGGCAGGGTTCCCTTTTACATCGTTAATTTGTTTCTTCCTTACAACCTGTACCCATTCGTCAACGTTGCTTGGAGAAGCAACCACATTCGCGTCAAACACACTGTGGGATTCCGGAGGGTTTTCAATGACTGGGGAGGTCAGGTTATGTGTCCCTTAAGAAACTGATCGAGCCTTGCGGTTGCGGCTTCTAGGCGTTTCTTTCTGGATACCATTTTGAAGACGTGGGATAGAAGAAACTTTTTTCCTTGAGTTTTTAGTTAGGACAGAGCTCTTTGAAGACTGTTCTCTCTCCTTTGATTAACTTCACTTACTCTCAGGCTATGGAATGTCTTAGTGTGGTCCCCCAGGATTCAGTACTACGATTTCTTCATTTCTTGAATTATATAAGTGATATTACACAACAGGTATCGTCTGACTTATTAAATTTTGCTGATGATGTGAAACTTTGGAGATAGATACGCAACTAAGAGTATATATCGGCATTTCAATAGGAACCGACTCGACTACAAAGTTGGGTAGGTGATAACGAACTTACTTCTAACACTTCAAAGTGTGAAGTAGTCCATCTGAGACATGTTGCAGACTACAGCTACAACTTAGGCAACTCCCTTCTAGAAGTATCCCAAGTTGAAAAAGATTTGGGAGTGCTGGTACCCTACGATTTGAAGTCTTACGCTAACTGTGACAAAAATGCCTTTCGAACAAACCTGGCACTGGTAACATTGAAGCGCAATTTTGGCCAGTTAGGCGGAAGAACTTACCACATAATCTTCAACAGTTTCATTCGTTCCCATTTAGAGTACGGAAACATAGTATTTCCTTCCTCACTCCAAAAAAGATAAGGACACTCTGTAACGTATCCAACGGCGAGCCACGCAACCAGTCCGAGGACTAGAATTCAAGCCTTATGAGGAGCACCTCCAATCACTGAACGCTTGCCCATTGGAGTACAGGCGTCTCAGAGGTGGACTAATCATTTACAGTATCCTCAACACTTCTGGACACCCCCTTAAACACCTACTTAAGTTTAGCTCCAACACAAACCTAAGGGATAAAACCCAGAAACTGGAGACACAACACAGCAGAACGGACTGTAGACACAACTCCTACTCCTTAAAAGTTGTAGAATGCTGAAATTTGCTAACCTATTCTTAAGGCTTAAGAATAGTATCTTAATTTGATTTACCTGTTTTCTCCTCTATCGTTGTCAATATACCCAGATCCCTGCCCGGAAGTATTGGTGATCCACTGCTACTGGACACGGAGGCTCGTTAAGCGAAAGCTTCTTTTATTCCATCCACAACCATTTGAACCATTTGGACTCTCCATCAAATCATCAACGAATGGAATTCGTTAATTCAAAACGTGATTGAAGCCTCATCTGTTGACAGATCAAAAAGGAAGTTGAATCAATTGAGAGACCGTCACTGATAAGACAAACTCAGGTCACCCAACCTTCAGCCAAAACTGAAAGTGAAATTGAATCGTTAAAATATGAACGCATCTAACGACGAGCCACGCAAACAGTTCGGGGACCAAAAACGTCAGCATCCGTGTTGCATCTGACACATACACACCTATGATCCCACTTACTTGGTCCGTTGTAAGCATTTGCTGTGAGATCTGTGTACGCTTCATGGAACCAACCTTTGCAATTGCCGCACTGCATGCCGAATGTTACAGTAAAACTGTATCCAGGTCGTTTGAATGAATTTTTCATGACTATATTGAAGTGAACTGTTTTATAGATACTAGCAAAAGCCCAAAACCTTAAGGGAAAAAGTGGATAAAAACGTGATAGGATAAACTGAAACTAGCCTTTACTTGAAAATCTGAGGCGAAACCGCAGTTTACTATTAAGTTGGGTAAAAATGAAAAAGAAAAGTAATCGATCAAATGAACAACTAAAGATAAATTTTCTAGATCAGAAATGGTACTTCTGATGCGTAAGAACACAGCAAAAGTTTGAGAAATCGCAATCACGTTTGAACTAATCTTCCTCTTCGAAAAGCGCGCTTTAGGTTTTTTTTTTTGCCAAGAATGTTCTTAAGTACTACTTTTTGGCCAAGGCGAATTCGTATCTATCCGGTTTGACAAAGTGCTAGAATTAACATACTTTGAATGATTTTCTCTTCATAATTCTGAAAAATGAACATGTTGATCATTGGCGCTTAGTATTGGAATTTATTTGTTTTTAAGAGCTAAGCTTTCGTTCACCATTGTTGTTAGGGCGGCTTTTGATGTATGTAGCATGTCGTATCCTAAATTTTGTGCTAGTCTCATTCTACTGATCTGCAATTGTACCAGATTTTGATTGTCTTTTTTGTTTCACACATTTTCAGCGGTCCTTCTTTAAACTCGTGTCATAAAACCAGCTGGTTCCAGAAGCCAATGCTGGCATTACAGAATGAGTTCAAAAGTCAAGTCTGAAAAGACAAAAGTGAAGTTTGCTCAGTCGAATATTAATCATGTTTACAAAGGAAATACTACAGAACCTCAACATAAACCAGGTAAGATTTTATATATCCTACTGGCGCCTGTCATATGCCCGGTTATTTACATACAGAATTGCTTACGGTTTTCTACTCAAACCTGGGTGACCTTTCTGTTTAGCTTTTCTTACGACTTAGGCGTGCTATGTTCGTACAAAAACGCTTTTATAGGTTTTTTTTTGGTGCCAGTTACAAGTCTCTGCCATTAGATCATCAAAACAACTTGGCCTTTTCTCTCGATTTTGTAGCCTTAGTAACACGGACTACCTTGACTGAGTGTAAGGCATTTCTGAATTCGTTGTTTCAAAAGTGATTTTAACTGTATCGGGTTTAGTAGTATTCTGGTCGTTTAGATAAGATTAACCCAAATTATTGTCTCAGTTGCTACTCTTAGTATGGGTTTTAATGTATAAATCGCCTTCATTTTCTGCGTTGTAATTGGGTTAGCACATCCATGTGTTGATGAGTATTTAGTGATTATCGGATATAAAGAAAATAAACCTCCAGGAGAATTCAATATGGTGGTTAGGGAGCGTTAAGTAACTTCTGTGCCTACCCTTAGCAAGACTTATATCTTCCTATTTACAGTTTAAACATCTTCATGGTATATTACTTTTTGCGGGTTATCCTCCGTGCTTGGGGTGTTAGTATACTGGAGCTTCGTTGCATCAAATGTACAAGCTTTTTAGTACCCGACCGGATTGCAGTCTGCTTGTCTACATCGGGAGAATCTGAATCACTTTTTGACATTACTCCAGGTATGTTAGAAATGATCTCGATACCTAGTTCAAATCGAATGACCGATACACTGTCAGACTTTATTATTTCGAGTGTTAGAATAGTTCCAAATTTCAATCCACTCTTCTGTGAACTTCCGTCACGTCCCAAATTCATGTATAGTGTGGATTGATGGTTAATTGATCAATTATTTCTTTATTTGAACACAAAAATATTGGTACAGGGAGGCACCAGATATATATGCGCCACACAAAGCAATGAGGATTTGAAGAAAAAAGGGTAAGATGTGTGTGAAGAAAAGGAACAGATTAGTGTAAAGTAGTGTAGTAATAGTGTAGTAATAATAATAATGGAGGAAACGGAAAGGTACAATCAGGAAAATTCAGTTGAGAAAGATACAACCACTTTATGAAGTAGGTTACAACGGGATGGTCACTGGCTTCTATTCTGATCCATATCTGATGTTTCTAGCCGGTGTTGCACCATCTTTTGGACCCCAACTAAGGAGTCGTGAAGGACCAACAAAAGCCAGTCCTGTGCTGCCTTCTTTCATAGAATGAAGTGGCGATTAAAGGTTAATACATATATCCGTACTTTGAGTTGGAAATGCTTGCTTATTCTTACTACGAAATTGTGTCAAACAATTTAGCTTTATTAGTGTGGTTAGTTGTGCTAACAACGTGAAAGACTAGTTGATTTAACAGCTTTTAAATGCCTGTCTTTCCGAGTTGCAAAAAGGTCCCAAATACGAATATTAGGTTTTGTTTCTTAAACACTGTTCTTTTGTAATAATGCCGTTGAGTCGACGTTTAGTGTTTTCTCCTTGGATCGTTGGTCAGTGGTGCTATAAAAAGGCATCTTCTGAGAGGATCTGAGTAAGTGTTGTTCACTGCAACAATTTGCGGCGATGCGTGACGTAGGATTAGTTTTAGTGACAGTTGGGTTGTGATACCAGTTAACGGGAACCATGAATAGTGTGATTAGGATTATAAGATTCGGTTGCTGGGTTCATACTTAGCATGACCTGAATCAAACCACGATAATGAGACGAATATCCTTTTATATCGGCACTTTGTCAATCTACCTTAATATAGCAATATGTTTGCTCGGTCGTATAATATCAAGCGTGTGCAGGAATCTTGTTTATCTCGGTCAAACTTGTCAAGTTTAGACAACAGCTTATTTATGTAAACACATATTTGTATTTTCAATTTACTTAGCTGTGCGACAGTATGGGATGCAAGTTGTCGGAAAGCTGCAGGGAACGCGCCGATTACCTCCACCAGCTTGGGTCCCCAGTATCAAGGCTGAAACAGGCGGTCTGGACAGTCGAGTTTCTCTTGTTCCCGCGGGTGGGGGTGGGTGGGGCGCACCCTCAACTTCCAGTGCTGACCAGCCACCTGTATCATCCACGGCAACTGATAGCCTTCCAATTGTTTCTACCTTACCCTCCGTGAATGGTGCACTTTATAGTGAAACAGTCGGAAATTCTCTTGAACCAGCTTATACAAAGTTCGCTTATGGTAACTCAGATATGGGGGTAACGGGTGTATCAACACTGAAAGGTATGATCAAACTTGCTTAACAAATTTCTCAGGATTACCATGTATATATACAGCGAAATTGTTTCATTTTTATTGGCGTTTTAGTATGCTTTATAGTTTGGATACTGCGAAACGGAAACAAGGGATCCGACTTGGTGTTACTTGTAAATAATATGTTAACTAGTATGCTAAAAAAACGATAGAAAATGCACACTTGCGTAGTCCACTTAAAACACGGCCTACTCTAAGGCTCCTTGATCCTTGTTTCTGTTTTAGTCTCATCCTAACCGAGGTTTCACAGTCTCTACATATGTTTTGTAAAAATTTTTGTTTCCTTCCCTTGATGACCATGCTTTCAACCAAGATAAAAATTCAATAGCACATTTCTCGCGTTGGAACCAGTCCTGTGGATATTGGAGTTTAATGAACGGACATAATTGGTCAAATATAATAAGTACTTTATACATCGGTTTGGCCCACTCACTAGCAATCATAGGAGAGCAACTGGTATCTTTGCATTTTTTTATTGATTAGGCTATTCCATTAGAGCTCATAGATAGTTGATAAAGTTATTCCCCTCCTTAGTCTGGGTGTCTAAATTGGTTAGCTGATCTTCCAGGGTCTGTAATCTGAAAAACTGTAAGGAACCGCTTTTATGCTAGTATGCTTGCACTCGAGTGTTAGCTTTAGCACCAAACCCAAGTTACTACAGTATGGAGTCCCAGAACAAGCATATCATGTAATTTTCCAGACCGATAGTTGCCAATCATTTCATCAGCATCAGGATGTGATGTTTAATGTTGGTTTTTAGCATGCCTCACACAATGTCGGTCAGTCAGTCAGTAACAACATCGAACTTCGTACGCACGTACATCAGTTCGAGTTGCCATACCACATTAGCACAGCGATTCAGTTATCGATTCAAATCCCATAGTGGTAGAGGTACTGAAAGTATAAGTAGTGACAGGGAACATTAAGGTTTGATAATGTTATTTAAGGAGTATAGTCCAGTGGAATAGATTTGGAAAGAAAATAAAGGACATGAAAAATTCAGAAGATTCGAGTTTGAGAGAACACAGAGAGTGGATGCACCTGCGCCATTGCAAAAGATTTTGAGCCATGTCATTCAAGGTCTCTAAGCATCGGTTGCTATCGTCTCGCGGATACCAACCAGGTAATCTACACCTACCAACATGACTCAGTCCACTTGTCAGTGACTTCATGGATTTGTGCCATGTTTTGGTCTGACCGCCCCTAGCTTTATTCCAACCTACTCCTACACCAGAAGTTTCATAAATATGAACTTAATTGTGTCTTGAAAAACACCATATAATTTTACCGATTTGGATGATAGCTCGTATTGAGCTCTCACTCTACTAGTTGTGTTCGAGTAGAGAGCCTTTATAAGGTTAATGTACTTTTTTTGGTACTCCTTTCAATGACAAACACTGCCATAGAACCTCACGATCGACAGATTCAAATGCCGCCTTAAGGTCGAGAAATACTACGATTTTGAGGCGTCTGTATGTGTCTATGTTCTAGGATCTGACGTCGTGTGAATATTTGATCTATACAACCACGTCCAGGTCGAAAACCAGCCTGGTTTTCTCTAGTCTGCTCTTCACGAGCTTTGGTTAGACGTCGAAGTATTATTGAAGCTAATATTTTAGACACTATATTAGTCAAACTAATTCCTCTGTGATTGTCACAGGAGGACTTTTGTCCTTTCTTATAGACTGATACAATCAGTGATTGAGACCAGTCAGATGGGATTACGTCCAGTTCCCAGATTCTACCTAAGACCTCAGTCAATCTCGCTGCTAATACTGGACCGCCATCCTTAAAAATCTCAGGGGTAAACCTGTCAGGGCCTGCTGCTCTCCGATGCTTCAGATTTCCTATAGCATTTTCAACTTCGTAAAGAGCCGGAGGACTTACATTAATTTGCCATTCAGATATTGAAGATCGTGGGAAACCGAAGTGTGGCTGAAGGCCAGTTGGACTGATCCCCAAAGTGTTCTGCCCATCGGTCCAATCTCCTGGATTGAGAATGAATAATATGTCCATCTTTCTCTGCGATTGTTTTGCTAGCAGTTGGGTTCTTAATACCGGTTTCCTTAACAAGTCTGAACAGTTGCCTGCTGTTACCTATTGCCGCTGCCTTTTCCATCTCTCTTGCTTTCGCTACCCACCACTGTTCACGATCATTGCGTAAGCTTCTAGTCAACTTACGCTTAAGCTGACTCCGCTCATCGTTATGTTCAGAGCCATATGGAATGCGTTTACGAGCGTCTATCAGTGCGGTAGATGCTGCTGAGATCCAGTGTTTCTACCTAACCTTATGATTTACCGTACTTGCAGACATCACTGCTGTTTCTACAGCTTTTCAGATGTCATTCCACGCTGCCTCGGGGTGGGCATCACTTACATGGCTGTCTAACTGTTTTTCTAGTTGTTTCTGAAATATACTCTTAGCTTGACTATCATCAAGTAGGATCCTAAAAGGTTTCCTTGCACCATCTTTCCTACGTCCAGTAAGGCGTAGACAAATACGCGCTCGCACTAGATTATTATTATTTATTTATTTGAACACATAAATATTGGTACAGGGGGGCACCAAATATTTATGCGCCACACAAAACAATGATAATTTGAAGAGGAGAAAAAAATATTAAAAAAAGTAATGAACGTGGGGAATTATAATAAAAAGAGAGAGAACAATGGGGGGGGGAACGGAAAGGTAAAATCAGAAGAAATCTTTCAGTTAAGGAAGAGGCAACCACTTTTTTATGAAGAAAGTAAAAGAAGGTTACAGCAGGATCGTCACTGCCTTCTACTCCGAACCATATCTGATAACGTCTCTAGCCACTGCGTTACACCGTCTCTCGGACCCCAACCAGCGAATCGTGAAGGACCAACAGAAGCCAGCCCTTTGCAGCTTTCTTTCATACCACGACATCATGTCACATAATGACCACCTCTCCGCTTTTTCCAACCAGTCTCAGCGTCAGCAAGTAATGCATGACGAGGAATTCTCTGGGAAAACATTCGTAGAACATGTCCAAGCCACCGAAGTCGGTGTTTCAAGATGGTGACACTAATTTCATTATCGTCTCTGTGCCCGAACACTCGATGCCGAACCTCTGCATTACTAACATGGTGTTGCCACTGGATGTCAGCAATCCTTCGGAGAAAACGATGATCAAACACAGAGAGTCGTCTAACCTCCTCAACTCGGAGAGGCCAGGTTTCACAAGCATAGAGCAAAACTGCTCTCACCGACGCGTTGTAGATCCGGCCTTTTACAGTCAGACTAACATCACGAAGGCGCCAAAGATGGCCCAGATTAGCATAAGCCGCTCTGGCTTTCACTATGCGTGCATTGATCTCATCACTCACACCACCAGCACTTATGCAGCTACCCAGATACACGAACTTCTTGACCACTTCTATCTGCTCACCGTCCAGAGTGAGTACAGGATTATAATCCTGCCAGTCTTGTAGGAGTACTTTGCACTTCGAAGGTGCGAAGCACATACCATAGCTACGGACATTGATTGCCAACTGATTAAGTGTGGATTGCATGGCTTGGGCATTATCCCACAATAAGACAATATCATCCGCATACTCAAGGTCGAGAAGTCTTTCTCCAGGCAACAGATCCACATCACCATTACTTACATTCATCAGAGTTGTTTCCAGAATGTCCAACGAATCGAAGGCAGCCCTGATATCAAGAAACACTACGATTGTTGGCCTTTGATAAGTATGTCGGTGTTATAACATTTGGCGGAGGGTGAAGATATGGTCGATGCATCTTCGACCGAAACGTAAACCAGCCTGCTCCTCGCGAGTCAATCTTTCTCGGGTTCTGAACAACCTACGAAGTATGACGGAAGCCAATAGCTTGGACGCAATCGGAAGTAGACTTATCCGCCTATAGTTGTTACAGGAACAACGTGAACCCTTTTTAAAGATAGGGACAACTATCGACTCATTCCATGACGTTGGTACACTCTCTAGTTCCCAGATCTTTGTAAACAACGTCGTCAGTCCCTTAGTCAGAAAGTCACCACCATCTTTAAAAAGAGCCGGAGGTAAGTCATCTGGGCCCGGTGATTTGTAACGTTTCAAGAGTTGGAGTTCCTTGCGGACTTCCGCCTCATTTGGTGGGTCAGTCGTCACCGGCCATTCAGGGCAGGTTAGTCTGACCGATGTTGCCGGAGCAGCAGGTCAGTTGAACTGCCCTTCAAAGAATTCTGCCCATCGTCCAAGACGTCGATGGATGTTAGTGATTGGCGTTCCGTCATCCTCGCAGATTGTTTCGCTCACACCAGACTTCTTGCTGCCAGTGGCTCGGATGAGTTGGAAGAGCTTCCGGTAATTACCAGATGCAGCTGCTGCTTCCAACTCACTGGCACGCTCCGACCACCAGGCTTCTCGGTCCTTACACAAGCTTTGCCCAATTTCATTACGTAACATCCTTCGTCTGTGGTCAAACTCACGGTCACCCGGAGTAGACCGACGGGCTTGTAAGGAACCAGAAGAAACCCAGTGCTTGTAAGCGGGACGTTTCGCGAAGCCACAAGCGACTTTACTCTCCATTTTCATGGCGTCATGAAATTGCAACCAATGTTCATCTATACTTTTCGGAGGGATAGTAACTAGTCTAGAAGCTAGCTCGGTTCGGTACTTACTAGCAATAGAAGTTGCAACCAGCTTGCTAACGTCAGTCCTTTGGTGGCGGTCACTTCGTTGTCCACTGAAAAGTAAGGTAAGATTGGCGCAGACCAGAGCATGATCAGATTCCAGATAGGTACTCCAAAAGGAGCAGCAGTCTTGTGCACAACCACGCCAGCGCTAGCTGATCGCGATGTGATCAATCTGAGTCCAGGCTTAAGATGTATAAGGGGGACACCAGGTGGCACATCGGCGATGACTGTGCCGAAAGTTAGTGCTAGCCAGGAACAGGTTGTGGTCTGTGCATATTTGCAGTAGACGTTCCCCGTTATCTGTCCTGCGACCAACGAGTCCCCATCGGCCACCTAAACGACTCTCTTCTGTGCCTAGACGCCCGAACTGAGCATTCAAGTCTCCGGCTAGTACTACAATATCTGTCGATCGCACTTTCTGGAGAAGAACAGATAACTGGTGGTAGAATTCATCTTTGATCGCATCCGGGCTGCAATCTGTCGGGGGCAATTTAAATAGGCGGAGATGACGAAAAGACATCGTTTCTCAGGCCTATTTCTTCTCACTTTGATGGAACTTTCTAATCTAACAGCACATAACCGACTGTTAGTGGGGATCCAATCGATTAGTTCTGCCTCAGCTCTAGCGCTTAGTGCGACACCAACGCCAGCAAGACCAGACGAAGATGCCACAGGGTCCCCGGATAAACGCATGTAAAACAAGCTTTTTGAAGTGACAGATGGAGAGCGAACTTGTAGTACTTTACCAGAGTCTTGAATACGGGTCTCGGATAGACAACACACATCAGTATTAAGACTTTCCAAAGACATAGCTAGCCCTATCTGTTGTCCGACCTGCATAAGTGTGCGAACGTTGAAGGCAGCCAGTTTGAATGGTGCACGTGGTTTCAGAAAAACTGCTTCAGTACTCATATTCGGTGGTAACATACAATTTTCAACCAGGCAGTGACTCGAGAACGTTTAGATAGAGCCGAATTTTCACCATAGGCGAGCTGCTGTCTAGGTCGAGACGGATACATAAAGTAGGAATAAGAGTGGGTGCATAAATGACATGGTAAAATAATAATAATAATAATGATAATATTAATAATAGTACGAGTCATTTCAATGTTAATCAGAGAGGAGGGAATATTTTCCATAAGCAAATAGTTCATCATGATTTTAGTGCGTGGGCTGAGATACTGCCCGGGTGCAGAAACCGAAGCAGGTGGTTTTCTTAGGGGGCCACACCCCGAGCCTTCGACCTGAAGATATGATCCACAAGACAGTGGAGCATCGTAAGGAGATGCGGTTCCATGGTAGCCGGTGACCAACGATTGGTTCATACGCCATTTGTTCCCTCAGGATACTGGAGCCTATGTGCACCATTGAATTGGGATCCGGTTATAGCGCCGGACATTCGCTTTTCGTCCTCTCATTTTCGTAAACAACAGTAATGCCACGAGAAGGTAGTGCAGTGAGTAGGACTTCCCTAGCAGTGACTGTATACGCGTGTCCGTGTGAGAGTATTTCGACAGGGAGGGCGAACCCTCCCAACTCTCGGCCATACCAGGGCATTTGGGGTCGCTCTCACTAGAGCATGATCTGAGTCTAAGCCTGTGCTCCAGAATGAGCGACAGTCTTCTATCGAGCCCCTCCATCGTTGGCTGATAGCGATGTGATCTATTTGGTTCCAGCCTTAAAACGAATTAGGGGGTCTCCATGTTAAAAGATGTTTTTCCTTATGCTTAAAGTTAGTACTTGCAAGAAACAGGCGGTTATCTGAGCATAGCTGCAACAGACGGTCACCGTTATCTGTTCTTTGAGCCGCGACACCATAAGATCCACCCAGGTGTCTCTCCCTTTCGCATAGTTTACCTACTTGAGCATTGAAGTCACCAACCACTACTATTACTTCTGAACGCCGCCTAGCTTTTCGGAGAAGGTCGGAAAGCTTTCTGTAAATCTCATCTTTTACATTATCTGAGCTGCAGTTAGTGGGAGAGTAGGCAGAGATGACGGAGAGTCAACGACGAGTGTCCCTATCTTTCCGAATCCTTACTGCTCCGTTTAGTCGGACAGCACACAAACGACTGTCTACTGGGATCCAGTCTAAGAGAGCTAGTTCTGCCCTAGGACTCAATGCTATACCTACTCCAGCGAGGCCACGAGAAGCAGCATCAGGGCTTCCAGATACACGAAGTGTAAATCGAGTTGGTTCGTTACTTTGACATGGTGCGGTCAAATGAATGACACTACTCGGATGCTGTATGCGCGTTATGGAGACGCAGCCCACATCGATGGAGCGAGATTCTAAATTCCTAGCTAAGGAAGCCTGTTGTCCTATTTACAGTGTTCGGACGTTGAAAGCTCCTATGTGTAGTTTACAGAGTGGTTACAGGAGACCAGGAATAACGTTCTGCGTACTCGAATCGTTCGCACTAGCGGGGCGAGGTGATATGGGGACGTGAGAAGGGTTGGTCGTGGAGATAAGAGTTATTAGGAGGTGTAGGAAGGATTTGAATGTGACCAATGACGCAAACCTGGATAGAGTTCCGGACATTAAATCTGTCAATATTGATTACCATATATAGAAGCAAAACAGTTCAATCAAGCTCTATAACTTAGCAACAGTTTCACATTACCTACTACGTGAAACAGTCATGCTATTTCTCGGTGAAAGGTGTCCCCGATGCACTTTAATATGATTGTTAATTTACGTTTAACTTTCGTGAGTATGAGCCAAGGTCGTCGAGGTTCATCTTCTGCAAACATTCCATTTAAGGGTTGACCGAACTGATTGTTGAAGTGAAAATGTTTACCACGATGTATTAATCAGTGAATAGCTTTATCTCCACAGCAAAGAATATAATACACAAGCTTTTCGCTTATCATGGGTAACAGCATTAATAAAATCGCAACTAAACTCATGCTTGTCAGCCTTGGTTGTCATATGTTCTTATTGTTTTCCACTTTGTGAAAGATTCTGTGACACACAGGCTTTACTAGTATAATAAAGTAGATATTACATAAATTTATGAATCAAATATATTAGTTGTTCCAAACGACTGAGGTTTCTTGCTTTTAGTTTTTATGTTAGCTAGTGAGTAATAATGTATCACATTTACTTATGGCAGATACTTCAGTCGGTGTGAACGGCTCTGTCAAGACAGATAAAACTCAAGAGGCAGTAAAAGATAAAGTATCCAGTCAACCGCTGAAACCGCCGAGTGATAAGCCAGGATCTAGCGGAGGATTGGCAGCTAACAAACCATTCTTCCAAAGGCCAACTCCGGTAAGTTGTAGCCTCAGACTTTATTTTTCAGCCCAATATATAAAAAATATGTTTTCATTTTTATCTGAAGTCAAATTTTAGTAAAATTTTAGCTGAGGATCTTATTAATTGTGACGCCGATTATATAGGGATACCATTCATAGAGTGTTTCTATATTACTAAATCAATGTGCACTAGATAACTTTTGCCAATCAGACTCATGGGACCATTCCTAATAGTGTTTAAAATTCAAATACTCAACATGAAGAACATTTTTAACGAATGCGAACCAAGACAGTAGTCTGCTGAGCCTCGGATAATCGGTCGTAGTTGTTATAAAAAACGCGTATCTATTAATTAACCTGACCGCATGCAAGTCACTAGTTTTGCACATATTGCTGTTTTTATCGTTCTAGGTTGTAACCACTTCTAGTACTACAACTACGACATCTAAATCTGAAATTCCTACCAAGGTTGATGGGGGCGCTCGCGAAATAGTTGGGGAGCCTTCTGGCTGGGTTGCTATTAGCCAAGATGAACCTGACTTCGACGAACGCATAATTTTTAGTGATGATGAAGAGTATGAAGTAAAATCCATCAGATCGACCACAACGACAAGCATATCAGAACAACCTGCACAGTTTTCGATCCCAGCTCCTAATACTGTTAAGACCAGTTTGCATGCTATGCCTATGAAACCATTTGTCAACCCGTCGACTAATTTACAAGGAGCTTGCCTCATCCAGACACAATCGACGGTATCTCAAAATATGTACGGCTCTAATTTGATGACATCGAACGCTTGGTCCGCTGCGGATGTTTCATACACTCGTAACTGTTCAGTTAGCCACCCTGGACCTCCACCAATTAATCTTCCTTACAGCATTGCGTCGATAAATACATGTGGGATTACTTCTGATGCTAACCGTTCATTACCAAGTGGACAGTTTATGAACCATGTTACATCTCCAGGCGTAATAGGTATGTTTAAATTTCCTTGTATCAGTAACACGACAATCTAGTTTTGACATCAAACTCAGAAAACACTAACGTAGTTTAGTTATCTGTGCTTAACTAAATAAGTACTTCAGCACTAGTTTATAAACCTTCAAAGAAAAACAATTTACGACCCTCTTGTTCTGAGTCCTACTTAATGTTGCATTTTTCTTTGGTAATTTACAACCATATATTCTGAGTACCACCTGATTCAGTCTGAATATATTGTTAAAGCTGATGCGTTTTTTCTTGGGTGTCGTTAATGAAAAGGCTTACTAGGAAGTTGCTACATTCTGCTAAACTGGTCTTCGTTGCTGTTTAGTTCGGGAGCTGTAGCTGAGTAGCTAAAACATTCGACTGATAACCATCAAGTTCTAGGTTCGAACCCCATTCTACTTGCTGTTTCAGGTGACTGAGTAATGCTATCAGTCCTTACTGAATTTGGATCATTCGCAAGTACCTGGTTAATGAGTTGATTAGTTTTTTTATTGCCGTTTAGTTCATAAAGATTCGATAAACTTGTTTACGTCTACATCGCTTCTCGGTCTAGTGAAATGTAATATTTTTTTCATTTAACTGGATCTTTGGAAACGATTGACGAGTATACTTGTAATCGGTCAAACGTAACTGGTTATCTATGTTAGGAAACACATCCCTTAAACTGTTTTTTCTTTAGTTTTCAAAAAATACAGTTTTTAAATTTCTTGTTTTCAATACGTGATGTTTATCTGGGGTAAGTAAAAGTGTGGAACAATGCGCTAATGAATTTTTACATAGTGAACATTCTCTCGTCAACAGTCCGGTTCGAAGAAATTCAATTAAGCATTCCAGGTGCAAAATACTAAATGTACGGATGTGCCAAACCAAATTTGTATTTATCGTCCACGTCTGTTCTAACCTCGAAAGGTTTTGAACGGGTACATCTTTTGGGAAGCGACGTAGATTCTCAGGATTCATTGAAATTTCAATAGAGATAGGTTACCAGTCATACTCAAGATGTGTCACATTACATTATCAAGAATCCAAAAAATTCGATAGTCAATCACTATTATGTTTTCTAACTTCTCTTTTAGATTCGTTCTACTCTACACATCCACTTCAAAGTCGTTTGGCGGTGTCGATTGCCAGCGGCATTACTGACTCTGTACGGTCAGCAACCGATGTAGATGCCGAATTACAACAGGCACAGAGACAAGCACGAACCCAAGAATTTAAAAATGCAGTTGAAAGAGCTCAACAAGCAAGGGCACGACAAAAGCTTTCTGAAAGCTGTTCAGCTGAAAGTGATAACATGTTACCTAAGTCTGCTCTGGGTCTCTTGCCCAGCATGTCAGAAAATAGACCACTTCCATCTATTCCCACGCCTTTCACGACTACGGCATGCCAAGCTGGTCCTAATTGCTTGTTTCCAATGGGGGACCATTCATCTGTTAATCATATGCTTAGCGCTCCTCCTCATAATATGCTTCCCGCGTTTCCAACATCAGGACCTCTAGATATAACGGCCGCAATTGCCGCTGCGACTGCTGCTGCCATAGCGTACACAGGTGGAGCAGATAGTGGGATCCCAGAAAGAAGTAGGATTGAAATGCCTCTTAGTGTTTCCTCGATTATATCTCAGACACAGGTGCCAATGCCTGTTAGTTCAAACACAGTAACTGCTGGCACATGGCAAGCTCAGTTTGGTTCAAACAATTCAATGCCTGCCGCTATGGTCCGATTGCTTTCTCAGCAGCCTCTTATGGCACAGTTACTACAGAATGCTCTTAAAATGTCTGCTGGTAATTCTCAAGTACCTAAATCTGCTCAGAATTCACAAGGTGTGTTTTTAAATCCAGACTTCTCTGTTGAACGTTTCCTCGAGATTTTCAATCAGTCACAGATGAATTGGCCTCAAGGACCCCCTATTAGTTCACCCAAGAATACGATCTCTTCAGAATCGAATGCTCAGGTCGCGATATCTACCCTGCGACATGATCAGTCTTCTACTAGTACTGTGGATTCATGTCTACGAAACCAGTTTGCATCTACAACCCCAATTTCAGGTAACCCTGACGATACTGTTGGTTCACAAAACGTTAAAGAGTCGGATGGATCAAGCGAAAAAACTCATCGAGTTCACAGGGTTTCACAATCATCCAGCAGATCAGACGTCCCTGTAGTTACTACCAGCTCAACTGTAACAAGCAGTAATTCTCCCAGTCAACGAACCACTCGTGTTCCTGGCTTAATGGATATTAAAGTATCATGTGCATCATCTCAACACTTGGCCCATCTCTGGGACAAAGAAGATCACTTACTGGATCCAGTAAGCCGTGGTTTTCGGGGTCGTGGAAAGAGCTTGATGTCATACAAGCCTCAAAGAGGAAGTGCTAAAGGTCGTGGAACCACTAAAAGCCATCTTTACGAAGCTGTGACAAGTGACTTAAGTAAGTATTTCTTGAAAATATTGGCACCATTGTCTTTTAAATTTCGAAAAGCTTACTAACTCTCCCCAGCCATGTAAGTATGATGTTTTGCTCTTCATAATAAAAACTCATTTTCGAACTGACTAGACCTGTTTCGGTTGTAAGTATAATTTCACAACATCCGAGATTCATTGATTCTGTTCACTTTAATGATCCTGAAGAAAAATTAAGGGTTAGGATGAATTCTGTATTAAGAATAATCATATCCGTTGTTAATATATCAATAAACGTTGCAGAATGTAAATAAAAAGTTATTATGAAATAATTTGTTTTGTAGATAAATTTTATAAAACTCTGTTGATGCTTGAATGACATGTAAGCTTTCCTTATCATAAACCAACTACCTCACGCGGAGCTAATAGTGCGGTAAACTGTAAGTCCAAGCGGAGTTACGGTTGCAAACTACGGTTCTATTTTACTGAATCCACATTCCAACTCCACCTACGATACGAATATGACGTTCACTCAAACCACCAGGTATCAAATAAAAAACCCATTCAATAATAGAGAAAAATTGATGACAGAATTTCTTATTTAACATTGCTACAAAAGCTGGACGATTGCACTATCAAAAGATCCATCAAATACGTTAATTCTAGTCAAGTTAATACGATAATCCTTAATTTTGTGTTCATCACTCAAAACCATATGAAACAGTAGGATCATGATTTATGACATTATTTTATGCATGTAATACCAGCAGAGATAATCGTGTTGTGGAATTGGAATGAAGTTTTCAAAGAACATCACCTCAAGTACGCAACTCACGGATGTAAATAGTTTGAGTAGTCTGTGTGAAATAATTGAAAAAGAATTATCTTTCACTCGTCAACCAGACTGTTCCTGTGATTTATGTGGGAATAGGTTGGACAAAATGACTGAGTGATAAATTTAATTATCGTAAGAGGGCGAAATGTCGAATTCACTTGAATAACACACTGGAGATCTATTTAATTTAGAAGATTGTCTAAGCTACTCGGAAATATACATAAATAATGTATGTAGTTGTACAGCAAATAATAATTAGTTAAAGTTAAGCTTATAATCAAGACAACATCAATCTGTCAATAAGCAAACGTAAAAATAATAGAATCAAAATTACTGCCCTAGGAAAATCCGTCTTATCCAATATTGATCTATCCCGTTCGTCGATAATTAATCAGTGATAGAAAAGTGGATGTACATTCATTCTTCGTAAAGCATGGGCCATCGACTAGGATTCCCCAGGTAACTGTCGTGGCCTCCTTTCCAGTGGTCGTAAGTGTTATTCATTCTTTTGATGCCTATTTTCAATTCTCGGCAATGTGCCTTGGCCTCCCTTTTTTCTGTTTTCCTTCATGATTTCAAGTTAGCGCTTGTCTCGTGATGCAGTTCTATGATTTCCGTAATGTATGTCCTATCCACTTCCATCGACTTCTAATTTCTTATTCAGATAGAAGCTGATTTCGTCTCCCACAGCAGACTGTTGCTGATGGTATCCGACCAACGGACATTGAATATCTTGAGTAGACAATTGTTTATAAGTACTTGTACTTCTTTGATGATGCTTGTGGTAGTTCTCGGAGTTTCAGCTCCATACAGCAGAACTGTCTTGACGTTCGTAAGGTCTTGGGTTTATGAGATTCCCAAATATAGGACATCGACATACACATGTTCACTTCCGTTCAAATGATATTTTCATAACTCGAATTTATGAAAACTTTCAAAACAAGAAAATCTTTTTAAACTAAGTAGTTGATGTTACATTGCTTCCAGAAAATCGATCAGTTGTAATTTTCGTCACGACTTCACATATCCACCTTTAAAAACGGGGAAGCTCTTGTCAGTTGTCAAGCTCAAATATAAAACTCATCAGTATACACCAGCAGCTCTTAGGAATCTATACAAGAACCGTTGCATCTCTAGTTGAATGCCTATCCTTTCTATGACAAGAATCACCTGAAATTAGATCTGATCTCCACAAAACTATTAAAGTATGGTTACTCAGTTTTTAGCTTGATGCAAATAACACATCTGTTCGTAAGAAGTAGAGTAGAACTTGACGGGTACTTGATACATCATACCAAAACATAAGTGAGGGAAACTTTTACTAAAAGAATCATTTTTGATGTATTTTTCTTAACTGCTTCTCCCATAGTTTTTTGTTCTCAAGCACTTATTTCATTTATTGTTTTTATGCTTGTTGTACTTATCTTCCCTTCTTTATCTTGCAATCTCATTTGCTTATTGTGTGACGCACATGTATTTTGGCGCCGTTCTGTGCTAATATTTATACATTTAAATAAATTATTAATATCAAACCAGCGAAATGAACTAATCAAGATAAATCTCTGAATGATTGAAGTAGTTACAGTACCAGTAACAGTAAAAAATTAAGCATAAGAGATATCATTAGGGGAAAAGAAAGGGATTTGCGGGGTAGTGTATACTATATAGTTCTAAAACCCAATACGTCAACAAAGACAAAGAATGTACCGATGTACCGAACTTCTAATAGGAAATTCTTTCTTGTTCACACGAAAAAAACATCAAGGGTTTTTTTACGCAATTCTGTTGGTTATAGGTCTTCATGAAGTTATAAATTCCATAGCCTTAATTACTGGAGTAATTCACTGGCCCCGCAAATCTTTTCATGTGGTAGATGTCTCTACTTTTCAAGTCTCCTAAACTGAAAGATATTTTGTCATTTTCATAACTTGCACTATTTCATTCTTAACAATTTCTAGAATCTATCAATCTTCGCGAACCATGTGATCCACAATATTCTGCAGATGACTATGATGTATCACATCGTTCACACAGTGTTTCAAAATCGTCGAAATCCTGGCGTTCGAAACCGTCACGCAGCGTTGATGATTCAGTTATAGATGCCTATAATATGAATTCACGGGTCAAATCTGGATTGACTGATGACGAACATATGAGATACAGAAAGCAGGTTCGAAATACAACAGACGATAGTTGTTGGACGCGTACAGATCTAAATAATAATAGTTCACCTTCTGTGTTGTCTAGCGAAAGTGAGAGTAATGAATGCGGTGTCCTTAGTGATGTCCAAGAAGGTGATGGTACTGAAGATGACAAGAGCTATAACCGATTACATAACGAGTCTGGGAAAAAAAGAAATCAGCACCTAAGTAAATTCTCACATCCGAATCAAGTTGGAGTGTCTGATAATAAAGATAAAAATAAAAATCTCAGTACATCATACAACAGACGAGGTCGACGTGGTCGTGTCGGGACAAATAGTCATTTTACAAGTTCCAGGTAACGTCAATTACATAATTTTCTTGATTTAATGATTTGAGTGTAATGTTCATGAAAATTAGTTCTAACTAAATTTTGATCTAACTCTGCTGGATTATATTTTTTCCTATCTCTATAAAATTAATGTTCAATACTTTAGCTATACGACGACTTGTTTCGTGTGTTCCTCAATGTATTTAACAGACTTAATAGCCTTTTTTCAATAAACTTTACTACAAGGTCCGATTGATATTTGAATGGCTAATTTTGTGTAACACTATCGGTTAGATTCCTTTAATTTTCTTCCTATGTTAGCGTACAATTATCGGTTTTATAATCCTTGTTTCGGCATACAGCTAATTATTGTCTACAGAAATTTTCATAAAACTAATTGTAAAATGTAAACTTTTTTTGAATAAAATTTCAGGAGTTATACTACAGATGATTTCTCTTCATATTCGAAACGTTATTCAAAAGGTTCGGAACAAGACTATTATTGGCGTCAACATTATGGTTCTGGGTCCAGAGGAGTTCGTACAGGTCATTCTGCCGGATTGAGCATTGATCAGCGCAAGAATCATAGTAACGATGATATCCTTTACAGACCATCTGAGCGTCGTAAGCTCTTCTGAATGTTTTTACTGTATTCATTGTGTATCTTTGTTTAGCCAAGTGTATTTACAGACATTATTTATAAAGTACCTTTTAAAAGCAAACTATATATTTCCTAAACTTACCTTTAGTTATATTTACTTGAACTAATTTCACTTTTGAAATAGATCATGTTTGAGTATGTCACTATAGTAAAAACACGTAATATGTATTCGCTCTCTTTGACCAAGACAGTGATAAACGTCTAAACAATTCTCTCCATAATCCTGGAAAATACCTGAATCTGCAGTCTACACATGTAAACAAAATTTCAGTGTATGATCAAGATATACTTATTGGGAGCCAACATATAAAGATAAATTATGTAATCATGGTTGTTTTGAAATCGTATTCAAACCGCGAAATTCGTAATTGTGAGGTAAAGCATAAAGTTTGGGAAGTTCACACTGCAAAGATGTGATGTTTCGAGTTAGACTAATATAGAGAAAATTTCAAATGATCCAAACAAGTTAAGAGGGCTTTCCTTGTATGTAACCTGTATAATGAAAGAGTGTGACCCGAAGCAGCATGAATTTAGTGTTTGATGTGTAATCTGACAGATGCAAATACAGATTTACATCTTAAATTTTAAATACCTTATTGATCTACGTCTAGTTATGCCCTGTATACTCATTTTCTGTCAGTTCAATCATCTTGTTTAAATCGTCTCAAACTTGAAATGTGCATTACATTGCTATTTTCAACATACTACTATTCCAATCAGTCCTGGTTTCTGTGAGTATTATTGTAGGAAAATTTGTAGTTGAAGAATCGCACTCAGTGTAAACACTTCAGATCAACATGTCGATTTTTCTTAGTTTATTTTAAATTTTAATATACAGGTATGTATGTACTATGTATTTCATGTTTTTCTATCGTAATAAAGGGATTACATTTCCAATCTCAGACATCGTTTTATTTCTTAACTGCACGGCTTTATTTATTTTAACACAGATATTGGTACAAGGAGGCACCGAATACATATGCGCCACACAGATCTCATTTGATATGTGTGAGGACTGTGATACTGCACGGGTGCCCAAACCAAAGCAGGTGGTTTTCTTAGGGGGCCACAATCCAAGCCTTCGACCTGAAGATCTGATCCACAAGGCAGTGGAGCATCGTAAGGAGATGAGGTTCCATGGTAGCCGGTGACCAACGATTGGTTCATACGCCATTTGTTCCTTCAGGATACTGGGGCCCATGACATTGGTTTGGGATCCGGTTATAGTGCCGGACATTCGCTTTTCGTCCTCTCATTTTCGTAAACAACATTAATGCCACGAGAAGGTAGTGCAGTGAGTAGGACTTCCCTGGCAGTGACTGTATACGCGTGGCCATGTGAGAGTATTTCGAGAGGGAGAGCGGACTCTCCCCACTCTCGGCCATACCAGGGCATTTGGGGGCACTGCACAGCTAATGCTATTTATAACGTTTCTGAGCCACTAAAAATCAATGTTTTTGTTATTTCTTTCAATATGTATATGCAATTTTGACAGTACTCAAATTTAATGAATGCTTTTCAATCTAATTACTTTATTCATATGCTGATATCATTCTTACTTTAGATTACTCATTATTTTGTGTGTGCGACGTTCTTTTGCAACAATAAGAATTTAAATGTTCTGACACTAGTAGCCTTTAATTTTCATTTGATTAAACAGAATCCTCTCGAAGTATTACTTCTGGCAGCTTTACTGGTATATCTGGATATTTTGGTGGTCGAATGACTCGTTCATACGCACAATATGAATCATCTCGTGATCAGAACAAGGATTTAGATAGTCAATATTACGTCACAAATGGTCGTCAGATGAGACCACAAAAGATGTATTACACTCATAAGGGGCAGTTTTCAAGTGCCATCGATTTTTCTCATGAGTATGTTGCCAGTGACAACGATGAAAGCAAGTCTCATGGTCGATCAACTAATTACGCTGATAGTAAAGCGAAGGTTTATGCTGTCAGTGGACGTTTCCACAAAACATACAGAAAAAATCCAGCAAACACTACCACAAAGTCTGAGTTAAACCCTCAGCCACATATTGATACTGAACAGGTAATTTTTTTCAAAGCGTAGTCTTTGTAAGATTATTCTGAAATTGTCATAAATACACAAATGTTCAAATGTCAGTGTGTAGTCGTTAATAACCAGAAGTAATAAAGATCTGTTGTGAGGTAGGCGTTTTGTTGAATGAATAAATTTTGGATCGTTACAATCAGCTGGTCGATAAATACGATTTAGCTGAAGTGACGGCTATTCGCTTCCCTGGATTACTGACCCCCCTCGAATAAACTGAGATTAAAGCGAGATTACCATTTAATACATAGGCACGCTAATGTACAAAATATTAACATAAGCACTAACATGATTGGATGTCGTAAAGGATTAAACTATCAATTTTGTAGGTTTCATACACCAATAAATTTAATCTATTTGTAGTTCACTGTCAGTAAGTCAGTAACAATGTAGAACTTTGTACGTACGTACATCAGTTCGAGTTGCCATACCACATTAGCACAGAGGTACAATTGTCGACCTTAGTCAAGGAGTATAATCCAGTGAAATAAATTTGGCAAGAGAATAAAAGGGTACATGAATAATTCGAAAGCTTAGAATTTGAGAGAGCATAAAGAGTAAATGCACCTGTGCCATTGCAAACGATTTTGAGCCATATCATTCAGGGTCTCTAACCATCGGATGCTATCATCTCGCGGTCCCCAACCAGGTAGTTTACACTTACCAACATGATTCAGTCCACTTTTCAATGCTTTCATGGATTTGTGCCATGTTTTGGTTTGGCTTCCATTAGCTTTCGTCTAACTTATTGATCGAAATATCTTAATATTTAACTGACTATTAATGCAATACTATGTGATATGATGAGTCAATTAATGTTGGCCTTATAACGGTATTAATTAGGATAGAAGATTAGACGGTGCACGATAACATCCTGTCTGGAAGCCGAAATTATTGCTTGGGTTTTAAGTATGTGTTTATATAGATTTTTTCGTTCTAAGGAAAGTTATCTACGTATCCCTTAATATAGTGTTGTAATCGCTCGCCTCTCAAACGTCACCACTTTACTCCTTATGATCCTTCAGAATGTTATATCGTTTTGTACTGTAACTTGATCTGGAACTAAGATCAGTCGATTTCGTGTTTCGAATCAATAACATGTTTATTACATTAAAACGTTCAAAGTGCGCCAAGCAATCTTTATTTCAAAGCTATAACATTTAAGTAACTTTCTGCATAGCATTTTTTCACTTAGTGAATAAGCCATTTATTTATGGCCCAAAAATAACTGTGCTTATAATATTTCATTATATAGTTATACGGAATACAATGTTATTGTGTTTCATACCATTTCACCCTACATTTATCAATGTGTTTTAATAACATTTCTCCACATTTCGCTGTTAAACTAGGTAACTAAGCTGACACTGGATAGTACTAATAATCGGACAGAAGGTATAGATGATCCTGAAGTTCCCACCGTTCGTGTCCCCGCTTCAGATTCAGTTATTATGAACTCCCAGTACTCTAAAACGCGTACTAATCGTTTTGCCACCCACCCATCCAAACGCATAAGTAATCGTGCTGGTCAGAATCACCAATCAAAGCGTCTTAACGGCTCTGTTATTCATACCACTCGTCGCTATCGAGAAATGCGGGATCGATACAATGATGAAAAAGATGGTGATGGAGGTGCTGCTGCTGGCGGTGTGGGTCGGTCTGGAACATCTAGTGGCGTATCTGCTTCTATTATTTTTAAGACTGGAACTGGTGGAAATAGTAATTCTCGTGGTGGCAATCAATGTAGTGGTAATGGTGGTCATACTGATTCTGCTGTCGATTTTGTTGATCAAGGAAAGCAAAGCAACAATAGTGAAGTTGTTTCAAACAATGCTAACGATCCGCTTGATGAAAATAATGTGAACTCACGGTCTCTTTTGCGTCGGCGGCAAGCGATTGGTAAGCTTTATTTACATGTAAAATTTATTGTTCTTGTTCTCCATTAGTATTTGTCAAATATCTGCTGATTATTTTTAAAGTGAGTTTAGGTAAAAATGTAACTGTCCGTATCTTTGTGTTGGAAGTTATTGTTATTGCATTGAAGTTCGGACAGTTCTCACATGTTTACCCATTTTCACTTAGTTTGAGAGTAGTTTAAACGATTTCTGTCACCCTATAAATGATATTTTTTCATTATATATATTAGTCAAAGAGAACATTGAATGATCTTTGTTGAAGCCTGTGTTCAAGGTGTCAGTTACCATTTCAGTGTTTCTTTACATCTAGTTCATTCATTGTATGCTCAATAGCAATCGAATTCAAATATGGTTGTTACTTCCTTCACTTTTTTCGTAGTAAACCTTCATTTCACAGTTTTTTGCAATAGTTTATACTCAGTTGTTCACTCTGTTTTTAAGACTCATTTAGTTTTACATACAGTTGGCGCTTTTTTGTCTTCAGAAATACAGTAAAAGCTATACAATTGAATCATCTAGTTCACAGAACACAGCGCTATCAAAAACATTCCAGTACACAGATGTATATGATCTATGGTTTGTATCGTTTTATATTCCGCAAGCTGATGAAGCGCCAATAATAGGTCTTTACTCGTCACTATCTGTTCTGTCATTTCGTAGTATTATTTTTTTTAGAAGAATTGAAGTCTAATACATTCGTATAGAGTGATGAATTTAGTCAAAGAAACGATCATTGATAATTTTTGTGAAATCTTGAAGCATTTAGGCATTAGACCTTAAAATTTGTTTTCACTCGGTCAGCTCGTAAATCTGTTATTGGCTAAGTGTTCGATATATTCATCTTTTACAGTGGTAACCGGGAATACTAGCGATACAAATGATGTTGATGAATGGGAAACAGCATCTGAAGGGTCATTTTCCTCTGAAACTTTTAAGAACTCGTCAAAGCCGCTGTCAGATGCAAACAAACGAAAAGATTTTTCCGAAATATCTACTTCTTCCCACCTAAAAAATGATGTAAAGACTTCAAAATCATCTTCCACAGTTACAAGAGGCAATCCATCCGGCTGTCATGTTGCTGAGGCAACTAATAATCATCGTCATCATGACAATGATGACACAGGAGGGGGTAGGTGTGCATGATATACTACGTTCTTCTTAGACACTTTAAATCTTCTTTAGTAGCGTCGTTTTACCTTTCAGACGCTAGTAGTAATTGCATGTAATCAGAGTTTGCATGCAAACTGATGGAATCACATTATTGACTGCCTAATCACAACAGGTCGATATGTCTGTCGTTTTGATGGTGTATGTGTGACATTGAGTTAAATCGTAATGTGATTAGGATGTTTGCAATCTTATTTACAATTCTTATTATTTATTACAGTTTTCCCTGTATAATCAGGACATTTGTAAAAATCAGTATTCATGAGTTATTAATATTCTTTAATATTTTGTTGTATTATTACTATATAAAGTCTTCTTAATTCACTCATTTGTTATATTCATGTTCAATAATTATTTATGACAAGTCTAGACTGATCTAAGCGTTGGTATTGCTTTTTCATAACTTTTCCCCAGGTACCAGTTCAAGATCTATTGCTGGTGGGATTGCTTTACAAGCAGAATGCTCTAAAGTCTCTTCTTCCCCATCAGTTATTGGTGGAACTGTCCAGAAAAATGAAAAGTCTCACATATCAGGTGGAAGTTCCACAAACCAACATAGTGCGTACCGTAGTACCACACGTGCCCCTCGATGTGGAACCACTTTTTACCACAAAAGAAATGATATATCCTTAATTCCGCCTTTAATGTCTATTAAACCTCATGCCTCATTTCCAGAAAATTCTTACGATTTGGATTCCTTGTCTACATGGACTAATCGTACAGAGCGAAAAAGTGACACAGTTTTCAAGGATGATTCTGATAAGTTCTCGCAATCAGGCAGAGAGTTCGACGAGTTAAATCAAGACACCTTTGAAGAAGATACTCCACATGGGGATGGTTTTACAAAAGTTGTCTCGAAATCTAGCAAGTATTTTGCTCGTCGACGAATGCAGCAAGAAGTTACAGTTTCCGGTGACTTGAGCACAAAGAAGTCAAATTCTTTTTCTAGAAATGTTAATGTAACCCAAGTATATTCCAGGGACGGTTCAACTTTAACTACCACTCTTTCACAAAACTATGTAAATGCAAATGACCATAAAAGTCAATCAAGTGGACTGTTGAGAAGTTTGTCGGGTAAAAAGAAGTGTCTCCCAACTAAAGTAAGTTTTATGGGTCCACCATTATGTTTAGACGCAACTTCATCACTATGTACTGTTACAACTTCCATTTTGTCTGGCCAAGCTAACCAACCAGTTCCTTGCAGCAGCAGCAGCAGTTTATCATCAACACCTACATCATCTGTGCTGCAGAAGATTTCTTTCTCAACTACTCGTACTTGGTCAAAAGTTGTTGGGACAAAGTTTGCAAAAGCCCCTCTTGAAAATTATGGTGAATCCACAAAAACATCGTCAGTTTTACTCAATTCAAATTCAGTTTGGAAATCAGAACATTCAAATCACGTAATTACTGAGGAATCTAATGAAGATAAAAAGTTATTAGACAACACAGTCACTACAACAACCAGTAACACGGATTCAGTGGTAAAATCCTCTTATAATTCCATGCAATCGCTATGGTCGATCGGTGATAGCATACCTCAAGCTAACAAAAATCATTCAACTAATAGTACTTTGCTGTTGGCTAGTAGTACAGTTCAGGGTACAGTTGCTCCTTCTGCTGGTCCGCTATGTACTGTTAGTCCTTCGACTACATTCTCATCTCAAATTTCTAATAACATTTGCAAGGTCAAACCTCAACAACAACAGCTTCTTCAGGTTACTTCCATCTCACCTCTTGTTTCAACTTCCATGCATTTGAATCTTCTTAGCCCATCTAATAATAATATTATTGAAAATATCTCCACCGCAGATTTGATAACAGAAACAGAAAGATCTGACTTCGAATGTTGTGGTGACATTGGACGCTCTAATGCCCTTTTAAGACCACATACCTCAGATAACCTTCAAAATTTAACAACTTTATCCAGTAATTCTTTTCAGTCTTGGTCTTCCTCAAATGCTCTATATACACCATTCTCTTTATCAAATGTTCCTCTAAATCGTCATGAAAGCAACATGTTTTCCGGTAACGTTTGGCCTACGGCTGATCAAGGTATGGATATAAATATTAATTGCATGACAGGTTCGTATAATACTAATTCTAACCAACCACACTTTCAAAATCAATTGAGTTCTAATATTCTTTCAAATGTTTTAACTCACAATAATACCGTCCCGTCATTGGATAGTATGACTAAGCAATCGAATATTTCTATCACACCTAGGCAACAGCACATGCAGTCATATCAAAACTCTATATTAACACCCGCAGAGAGAGTAAATATATATTCCAGTGGTCCATATGGAAACAACTCTGCAGAATTAGGAAAACTATCAAACAACATATGTGTTCCGTCTCAACAAATGACTTTTGTATCTGCAGCGCCTTCATTATATGTCCATCCACAGTCAACTGCAATTCAGCCCGCACCTTCTCGTTCTTTTCACCATTCCTTATCAATCCCGATTCAATCACAAGCTCGGAAATGCAGACAACAGATACCACATCAAATGGATCCATCCACATTTACTACTGGATATACGAGTTTTCCCACGGACGTAAAAGTATGTTTATTTCTCTTTTGAACCCTTTTTTATGTTAATGATTCGCAAACGATTTTATAAACAAAATTTCGAGCTGATATAATCTTTTGTCAGTTTTACACCAAAATCCATTTTGTCACACAGAATTGCTATCTTCTACCTGTGATTATGCCTGCACCTGAGTGAACAAATACTGTTTATGCGTTCGATCTTGTAAGCAATTGCATTCTTATTATCCCTTTTAGTTAAACTGACGAATTTTAGCCCTCATATTATTCAATTTCCAATAAAAACTACTGCAATAATGTACCTTATCTAAGCTTTTCAAACTATATCTGCGCTTATGATTTGATTTCTATTTGAATTGCAGAATGAATACAATTTCCCTCCATCTATTGCTGGTTGTATTCCACCTCCTCCTTCTGTTGGCTTGTATTCAGCCATTCAGCAGTCTAGTTACCCACAGAATTCAGGACGACATGCAATCGGATTTCCGACGACTGTAAATTCGTATTCTCTTCTTGGAAACCCTTCTGCTACTTCTAATCTTCAAACCGCTGGACAACCATTTGCCCCAGCGATCGGACCAGCTGCAGGAAACGGTGGAGGTTTATTACCTCATCCTGTTCCTCAGGGTGGTTACAACAATACACCTTGTCATTTCCCGACACCTATTACTTCAAATTCTGTCTCAAATTATGCCAATGCTTCTAACTATGTAGGTGTGATTGGAGGAGGACGGCCGAATACTGACCATACAAATGCTAGTGTTCGACAAAGAGGTTTACAGCATCACAATTTATTCCCCCATCCAAACCTCCCACAGTCACCTTCGGCGCAAGGACAACAGTCCTTTCAGTTGCCCTCCAGTTTTTATCCGTCGATCTCACCATCGCATCAACGCGTATCACTTCAGCAATTTGGAGGTACATCTCGTGCAGCAATCACTGGACCGATTAATCCACAAAATGGACTTTATGGTCCAACATTTGGCGGGGCTTCTCATCCACCAAATCAAGCCACTCCACCTCCTATCGGACATCAGTTGAATCCTATAGGTTTTTATAGTAATCCGTTCCAATATCCATCTCGTCCAGGTAAGCATTTTGCCTTGATTATTGGTGTAACACATTTTGTGGCACTGTCTGCCATTGATAGGTGTACCTTAGAAGTACATATACCTTGTGAAGGCGTTCTCAACGTTTGAATTTTCGGTAATTGATCTCATACCAGGAGGTTTACTTATTGACTTGAAATACACAGATGATGATGAAGACTGATGAAATGCAGTGTTTTGGTAGCACTGGTCAGCAATTCCAGGTTGTTTAGGAGTCGTTTCTGCTCATCTAAATGCAAACTGTTACTTCAGGACTGGCCTGCGTCAACAACTTCATGTATCTTGTAAGTTCGATCAGTCCTGATGGATTAGTGTCTGACGAAATCTCGGCACCAATTCCAAAAGCTCGTTTGACTTCTGCCAACCTACGTCACATATGGCGAAGGCGAGCTATCCATCTACCAATAAAAGGATGAGTATACTGTGCAGCAGTTCGTCCTGTTCTACTTTACGGCTGCGAAACGTGGCCACTAAGAGTAGAAAATACTAGTAGGTTATTAGTATTTGATCGTAGATATCTTCGAAATATAGCTCGCATCTGCTGGGATCACCGGGTAAGTAATAGTGAGGTTAGACGTAGGATATTAGGGAATGACGGCAAATCAGTTGATGAGGTTGCGAATCTTCATCGACTGAGATCATTGGGTCACGTGTAACGTTTGCCTGAACACCGATAACCAGAACGCACAATGTTGACAAGTGTTGCAGACGGATGAAAGAAAATTAGGGGCGGTCAAGCCAAGACGTGGCATCAGTCTTTAAAGTTATTAACTTCTGGTCTGATCCATGTTGGTAAATGTAGACTAATTGGTTCGGATCTGCGTGACTATCGTAACGAGTGGTTGGAGACTGGTTGATATGACTCAGAATCGATCACAATGTTGTAGGTGTATACACTCTTCGTCTTCCTTTAAACCTTATTACATATCTTTCTACGAACTAATTGTTTTTCACTGTTCCATATCCTTATGTCCCAATCTTTTGTGTTGCTATTGTTGAAGTTTCCACTATGAATTTCGTGATCATCGTGTTATATTAATAAGGTATTGTAACTTGGGCCCATGCATATATGTGCCTGGTCCTACGTTGTAGCTGATTGATATGAAGTTTTTGGTTATTAGCTTATAAATTTAGTGTAATGTTTTCTCTACTTGCTCTCTCAGTTCTTCATACCATTTTCTCTTTTCACTATTTCTTACATTCTTTACAGACGGACTTCACTGACAAATCATCCGTACAATGTGTTTTTTGACTTTTATTGTGGAGAATTATTTTCCGAGTTTTGTGCTTCCATCCTTACTATATATATCGTGCGATTATTATACTGTAATCTTTTTGCATTAAAGTCAGAGAGTGAGTGGTCAATACTTGTCTTAAAATGCACATCATTTTTGTAGATCAACTGTAGTAGTCTTGGCCAGTTTTTCTATAAACGGAACAATTTCTTTTAATTTTTTTGTTTGTGTCAATTCTCTGTCTCTTTGAGTTTTTGTTAAATTTAATGTTTGACTGTAAATTTTGTTCTTCTAAATCCTGTCATATTATACTACTTTGTCTAGTAAATTGTCAACACGATTGTTTGTTTTCCCGATCGATTGCCTTGGCTATTGGTGATTTGATTGCTCTTTCTCTTTCTTTCGAACTTGAGAATCCCATATAATTCTTCTTGTCTGTCTATGATTTGACGATTGATCTACAGTTTTACTTATTATCATTATCATCATCATCATTTATAATTGTTGTACACGTTCCCCTTCTGCCCATCGGCTAACTTGATTGGTTATACTTGTAAACAGGATATATGCATATATTGATATAGATATATGTTGTTTACATTTGTCTGAATTTTAGATTTGTGATAAATTTGTTTTGTTAGTTACACTACTTACAGTTGGTTGGTTGCTCGGAAATAAATTCGTTTAGGATATCGTAGAAAGGTCAGTTCGTAGTGTTTTTCTTCTCCCGGAAGTTCCTCCCTAAGTTCGACAGTTTCATCCTATGATTACGTTAGAGCTCTCTGGGTTTGCTCTAGATTCTGCTTTATCTGTAAATGTATGATTGGTAGGCATCCAACATTACAGTTGACATGTGACATAAGGTTGCTGTGATAATAGGATTAAAATCGTGCTTCTTGAAACCGCTGAAGTTATATGGTGGACTGCACCATTGTAAGCTCAACTTCCTAAAATTGAACTAACACTGCCGTGTAGCAAACGGCTTTAATTAGCATAAATCGCTCTGAATTTCGGATTATGAACTAATTACTTCATTTCAGAGTAATAGAAAGATTTTTAAAAAAAATTCTGAACAGTTCAGTTTTTTATGGATATTCATCTCCAAAATGTCTAAAGATTAGTCTTCGAAGTCTTCTTTTTAGAGAACTGTTAATGTTTGAGTCTGGTGTTCACGGGTAGAAAATCTGGATGATTCACTAAACAGGTATGAGCATCCTATAAGTTCCAGGGTTCTTTCCTAGGTGGCCGGTAGTTATATAATCGGTTTCATTTTGTTTATGATTAGTTGTTTATCAAGTAAGAAAACATGGCCTATGTCATTGAAGCGGCATATACTCATACCAACAGATCGTTCTAATAATAAAGTTTTGCTATTGTTAAGAAGACTAAAAAAATTTAATGTACTGATTTTAAAAGTTCCTCAGTCTGGATGTATTGGCATCCGTCAGAATGTTTTCGACTCCTCTTATGTCTGAGTTGGGTGGTTTTATACCGAAGTTCTCATTGTCGTTTTGAACATAATTGTGCTTACTTCATGCAGAACAACGCAACGACCAAAAACTTGCTAGATCTGCAAATCTTTGCTGTTTGAAATGTGTTTAAATCACAAAGACGCGATTTCCGTTGATATTAAGGCTCGTAAAATACTCAAATATTTTCCAAAAGACCGAATCCTAGTTGGCTTTAATGTTAAACCTTAGATGATGTACTTCTACCCTGATGTGTGGGCGAGGATCATAATGATTGGTTGTCTGCTTAGTCAGACATGTAGATAGTCTGACGGGTGTCAGATAAGTTATATATTCCCTTATCCTTATTATTGTGATACACACACTTGTTATTGATTGTTCATTGTGGGTTGTGTCGGTTTTGGGTGTGAAAAAGTATTCACGTTGTGATCAGGCTAATTAGTATCCTTGATCTGAGTCGTGTTGAAGTCCTGTAGAATAAACACTGGGAGGGCTCTAGTGCAGATAATCGTTTAAGCGTTATAACATTAGACGCGGTAATACAGAGCGTTATAACATACCGATAACATGAACTCATGTGTTGGCACTCGGTTAGACATTTATGTTTCTTTTGATTTCTACACTTGATCTATAATCAAAAAATCAACTTAGCGTTTCATTTCAAGGGATTATGAATTTGCTACTTCAATGCGATATATTTCATAGATAGGTCCTGAATATACGATATCCAAGTTTGGTTGTAACAATAATTTGCCAGTGTACAACAGTATATTGACTAGTTTAATCCGGCCAAACGTCGAGTCTAAATCTAATCCTAGGACACGAGAGTAATCTTATAGGAAATTGTAACGCTATCTGTTTACATAATTCTTGTGACCAATGATTCCGCTTTCTCCAAGTGACTTGAATTGTCTTGCATATTTGCTTGACTGTGATTGCTGGTATCATGATACATTACGTTGTTGTAATCAGTTCAGTCTATTGTTAAATTGCCTGTTGATTACCGTTGAAGGTCTATGAAAGCATTTAATTGTTTACAGTACTCATTTCGGTAGTTAGGATATTTAATTCCTAGACCAGAACTTTAAACTTGTTCGGATGGAGTCATCATAAATTTATCCCATTCATGGGGTGAACTACAAATGGAATATTTAACACTTGTAACATGTTTACATCAGCGACAGCTGATTTCTGTGTACCGTTTGGTGAACGCGTTACCCATGAGTTAGTGTTCAAGCTCGTATCTACTCTTGAACCGATCTATGAAGATCCACTCGCATCATCATCTCTCGTCTTATGCGTCAATTGTTTTGAAGTGGTCATCAAGTTAGTTGTTTATGATACAAATTATTTGTAATTTGATTTCAGTATGTAATTTCCGTACAACACAGCAACTAAAATATCATGATTTTTTGAGGTGGTTAGTAGGACTTCCTAAACCTTGGCCAAGTACTACTTGGCACTCACCTGCAAGAGGTAGTTGCGCTCAAGAGAGCTGATGCCTATTGGTAGGTTCAAACACGCCTAAAGTAGTTTCACACCCAAAGACGTTATCACTGAGCTGACAACGGGCCATGTTTGGACGTATCAAGGAGCATCAATTCAGTAAAGATTATAAGTAAGTTTTCTAACGAGTATCAACTAGCACAAAATGTAGATCTATTGTTTCTTGCCGACTACGTTCAAGAAAGTAACACCGAAATCAATGGACGTGGTATTAATTTCAATTAAGCTAATATCTACATTGCGAGGTGATAGAATTTCATCACGGCTAAAACGTACTACGCAAGTTTGTCATTTGTCGGATCAATTAATTTAGTTACATCGATATATTCATCCTAAACTAAATCGAATTCACATAAACCGTATTTTCGAATTTTCAAACCTAGTGCTGTTGTATCCAGCTCCATAAAAACTCGTTTGGAATGATTTTGTTCCTAAAAACATTCACAAATGCCCACTTTTTTCATGTATCATCATCAGCTGATGCAGGGAATAGGTCTGTGAGATTGAGTTCTTCGGTTAAGTGATATCGGTTGTTTGAACAGTATTGTATTGAAATCACTTACTTTTATTTCGAAAAACCGAATTCACTACTTTGTTAACAGATCGACTTTTGTGTTCCAAATGGATTATCACTATATATTCTTATCAAAATGTATAAATTTCAGAACAGATTTCTCAAAATCTGTTACAACAAAATTTTGTGTATCGTGAATGATAAAACGGATGGTCAACCCAATGACCAGGTTTTCCTTCTTGAATCATTTCTTTCAACATGCAAATACTTACTTATGAGTAGTTTAAATCTTAAGAAATTTCATGAATTTCTCAATCTAATATGTTGACTTGTTCAACTAGATCAACTCAATCATGCACAATTTAAATTTACATTCTTTAATTGAAAACAATGTAAGTCGTTAGTGGTTTTTGTTATTCCACTTTCATTCTTGAACAACTATTTAATGTTATTTTATAAGTTAACCACTCAATCATTACAGTTTTCTATCTATGGTAATACATAATACTGGGTAATGTGTTAATCAGTCTTTTTGTTTTCTAATGGTCTAACCTGTCGGGTTTTTGTTCTCGATCATCAATACATGAAGGAATTGTCATATGTGATGAAGGTATCTAAAAAAGACACTTCTACAATGATTTACAATTAGCATATATAATATACCCATTCATGCAATCTTAAGATTTATTGTTTCAACTTATTATCATATTTCAGTATCATAATTTTTTCTGGTTAGCGTTTTCTTAGCGAGCTTGTCGATATCATACAGAATTTCTATGATGGATTAAACTGCAAAATCTTTCATGGAGGACAGTTGACAAAGTCGTTCGAAGTAAAGACCGGTGTCAGGCAAAGTTGCTTACTCTCACCCTTTCCGTTTCTCCTGGTGATCGACTGGATCATGAAGACGTCAACATCTGAAGGGAAGCATGGGATACAGTGGATATCTGGCTCTTCTATCGCAAACGCAACACCAGATTCGGGAGAAGAAAACCAGTGTAGCAGCAGCAGCAGTAGGTCTCAATATACACAAAAGGGAAAAAAAGATTCTCCGATTCAACACAATATGCACAAATCCAATGACAATTAATGGAGAAGATTTGGAAGATGTAAAAACATTTACATATGTGGTCAGCATCATCGATGAACACGGTAAATCTGATGCAGATGTGAAGGCGCGGATCGGAAAAGCAAGAGCAGCATATTTACAAGTGAAGAACATCTGGAACTCAAAACAATTGGCAACCAACACCAAGGTCAGGATTTTCAATACAAATGTCAAGACAGTTCTATTGTATGGTATGGAAACCTGGAAAACCACGAAAGCCATCATCAAGAAGATACCGGTGTTTATTAACATTAGTCTACGCAAAATACTTCGAATCCGTTGGTCGGACACTATTAGCCACAACCTACTATGTGAGAGAACAAACCAGATCCCAGTGGAGGAAGAAATCAGGAAGAATCGCTGGAAGTCGGTTGGACACATATTGAGGAAAGCATCCAACTGCGTCATAAGGCAACCCTCATCACTTGGAATCCTCAAGGCCAAATGAGGAGAAGAGGAAGACCAAGGAATACATTACGCTGAGAAATGCAGACAGACATGAGAATGATGAACAAGAGATGGATGGAACTAGAAAAGAAGGTCCAGGACAGAGTGGGTTGGAGAGTGCTGGTCGGCAGCCTTTGCTCCATTAAGAGTAACAGGCGTAAGTAATTTAGTTCAGCATCATAAGCTTAGTTTGATTGTAACAGATGATATCGTTTTAAACACAGACTGGAACTGTTTGACTAACCAATGATTAACTGATTACCATCCATATTTATTAGTGTAACCTTTCAAATTGAATACTTCTTGTTACGTTCTTAATCCATCTACCAACTGATATATAAGAGAGAATTTGTCTCGATGTCGTTTTAAGCCTTGACATGACAGGTTATATTTAGTTCAACTTTGAGGCTAGTGATACGTAAGTTCAATTCATGAATAAACGGCCTTAGGGGCAGAGAGACTAACATCATCAGATATGTTGATGAGGGAAAACGAGAGAGAGAGAGAAGAACCATATTGACAAACCTTTATTAAATAACTCAATAAATGATTCAATCAGTCTACCAACTTAACTACACTTCAACGTTTCTATATCATGTTAAGAATATAAATTTTTATATAAGAAAAGGCTAAAGAAGATAAAATTTATTTCACGGTTCTTTTTTCTTTTCTTTTCCTTGTGCCAACACATTTCAAGTAAACAGATATGCTATTGGTGAATGGTTATAGTCAACTGAGACCAATTGTAGTTACAAAATTCCTATAGAATATTCAGAATAAAAAAAAACAAAGAACATTTGATACTAATTGACCAATTCAATATGATCTGAATACAAATTAAGACAACATATATGTTGTGGTGTGTGTACACAAATCTATAATGTATGTATGTATATGTGTTTTGTGCCTGTTTTGTCTAAAGAAAAGCAAAAATCAGTATTTCTATGCACTATAGTTAGTTAGATACTTATTCACTTGAATGACTCTATCCCTATTTCATATCATTTGTTTTTCTTTCCTGGTTACTTCTTCTATCTTTATCTTTCTATGAATCTCCTATATAATTTGATGATCGATGAATTGTTTCACGATATTCAATTTCTTCACCACCTTTATCAAATAAAACAAGACAAACTGATATACCAAGTATAAATATTCCACAACAAACAATAATCAATGACCAACCAACTGTAATAGTTGATTGATTCTTTAATGATGAATTTGGATTTGCTTCATGAATACATTCAATCACCAAGGTAATTAATGCAGATAATATTGTGATACCTAAAAACAAAATTGTAAATTGAAATTCAAGTGTTTGAATCATAATTAAATAATTTTATATAAATAAATTTATATCATAACAGACCTGGTTGAACTCCACTGGTTACTGCTTCGAACTAGAACTTCAGGAAATACCTCTTGGAGACAATCACTAATGGGCATATGTTGATTAATATCAGAAGGGTTTTTGTTAAGGTCATGAGTCAATTGATGCTAGATCACTATGGAAAACCTGGAAGCAATGGACAGCCGTTTTGTCCAATTGTGGGACTCGTCAACAGTGCGCATCCACGATCCCACTCATAGGATTCGAACCCAGGACCTATGAGTCTTGCGAGCAAGATACATTTTAGCTAAATAAACTAAATTTAAAGCAATTAGTCCCTTTGATAAATTTTGATAATGTAATAAGAAAACGAAGATTATCAGAACTATATGATGAATAGATTAGCGCAATACATTTCAAACAATCTGATCACACATATACTTGTTAAGAGCATTTATAGATAAAAATAAAAGGTCATCTATACTGGAAATGGAGGGTAAGAGGAGATAAGGATAATAATAATAGTAATAATCCGAACACAGTTCAAAACCTAATCTGTCTGGATAATAAGTGAATATTACCAGGGTAGGTTTAAGGTAAAAACAAACTGTTTTTGAATACACAAACGGGGCTTGAATTCTCGTATGGTTAAGGCTTCAATAAACCTTAGTATACGCCCTTTTACACTTTTATACAATACCACAAAAGCCGAGTTTAAATCAATCTTATTCCTTTTTTTACATATTAATGCTCTCAACAAGTAAATAAACTAAATTATTCGTCTGTTAAAGCCTGAGATGGTGGAAAAGATTTGTAGCTCAGGTGGATGATTTTTTATTAAGTTTTGCTCTTTGAGCTCGATGGTTTGGTTGTGGAGCTTTCATCGTTCTTCGGAACGACATCATCAGCACAAACTTCAGATAGAAGTGAAATGTTCGAATTTCTCCATATGAGTTTCACAGCTTGTTCTGTACACCTTATTACGTACAAATACGTCTTTGGTTATAAGAGTATAACTTCAGATATAATGCTGAATTGTAGTGCTTGAAGTCACTAATTTCTAGTCTTAGCCATATTAATAGATGCAGACTACTTGGTTGGGGTCCGCGTGAATACACTAACCAAACGTTGGAGACTCTGGGTGATATGGCTCAGAATCGATCACAATGGCGTAGGTGTATGCACTCTGTCTTACTTTAAACTGTGAGATTAAAATCGCTTCATATCTTTCTTTCTACGATCTAATTCTTTATTTCTGTACTATATCCTTACATAAAATCTTTTATATGTTACACCATTGAGTTAACTGATTCTATGAATCCGGTGTTCGTCTTGCTGTGCTAATGCGGTATGGCAACTTGGATCGACTCATATATGTTACCGGTCCTATGTTGTGACTGACTGACTGTTAGTGACTTCATGGACTGACCTTGTGTTTGGGTTTTGGTGTTCCTAGTTTGTTCCAACCTGTTTTTACACCAAACAACATCGCTCGTTGAGGTAGGCCTTAGTTAGGCTTACGTAACCAATATCTCAACCACCTCAGTTGATACAGATTCACTACCTGATCAATTGTTTTGTCATTTCTACATAACACCCTATTCGTAACCCATGCACTACTTAGTCTGTGATCCCACAACACATGAGCAATGCTTCGAAGACATCTATGATCGAATACTAGTAACCTACGGATATCCTCTATTCCTAATGGTCATGTTTCATATTAATGACGTAGAACGGACCGAACTGCTGCGCAGTGAACTCGTCATTGTCAACGTCACTATGAGTTGTAGGACATACGTCTATTTGCCATTCAGCTCTCTTTGGTATAGTAAGCGAGTGAAGTGTGGTTGGAGACCAGTTGAACTGTTCCCTAAAGTGTTCTGCCTATCAGTCCGATCTCCAGGATTGACAGTGAATATTAGTCTCATCTTTTACTGAGATAGTTTCACTAACAGCTGTATTTTTACTACCCGTTTCCTTGATAAGTCTGAGCAGTTGATCACTGTTACTTATCACAGCTGCCTTTCCCATCCCTTCTGTTTTCACAACTCACCACTGCTCACGATCATTGAGTAGGCTTTTTATCAAGCAACGTTTAAGCTGCCTCCATTCCTCATCGTGTTTGAAGCCAGACGGGATGAGTTTCCGAGTATCTGTCAGTTCCGTAGATGCTGCTGAAATCCATTGATTTTCTTAACTTTTGGATCCAGTAACTAGTAGATATCACTGCTGTTTCCATAGCTTTTTGGATATCATGCCAAGTTACATCGTGTTGGATATAATTTTCACGGTTGACTAGCTCCTTCTCTAGTTGTTCCTGAAACGTATTGTTAACTTTTTTGGAATTGAGTTGGACTGTAGGAGGTATTTTTGCAGTGGCTTTTCTGCATTCAGTAAGACGTAGACAGATACGTGCTCGAATTAGAGCGTAATCTGAGTGTAAACGGCTGCTCTGGAGTGAATGATAGGCTGTTGTCTTATTTGACACATCGTTTGAATATTAGAAGCTTCAAGATGTAATTTAGAGCGTGATTTCAGGAGACCAGGAATAACATTTCGTGAACTCAAATCATTAGAATTGGTGGCACGTGGTGATCAACATAAGTGAGAAGGTTAAATCGTGAGGATGGAAATGTTATGCAAAGATAAGGGAGGCATTTGATCAGAAACAAGATGATCTCGTTTGCTTCCCGGCTGTCCACACTGTAGAAGGATATTTCTTGAGGGATCTGAAAAGGAAGCTTAATTAATGGTGGTTTTAGTGACCTGGGAGCGTGAACACAGAGTTCAAGTGATAAGTGCTTGAGGCTGGTCAGTAACAGCTTTTTATGAGAGGCTTTTGATGAGTTAGCTCCGCACTTCAAAACGACATATCGCCGAAGACGGAATTCTGTGGGGTAGGTTGATATTTTACATTTTTGCAGTCGACCTTTTTTAACTCCAACCTTCCTTTTGTGGGATGGCAGCACCTCTGTAGATACTGGTTGTCCGGGGGAAACACACTACTATCACACCCTTTTGCAGTAAGCAGTACGACATCGCCCTTGAACCTTGGTTTGCTACTTTTAATCTTATCTTTCTCCACCGGACCTGCCTAGAATAGCAGCTTATATTATTGAAGAAACGCTTGCGAAATGTTTTAAATTAAGAGTACAAATCAATAGACAGTATCCTAGTTTTTCATATTTATCATGATTTTTTTTCAAAGCAATGGATTTTCGTCGACTTTATAAACATTTGTAGGAGTGTGAGGTTAATCAGTTTCAAATCAGAACGAAACTGATGTCTATTTCTCCCTTGTATTTCAACAGTTCTCTAGCTGATATAAATTCAAAACAAAATTCATCCTTGAAATATGTACTTACAAGACTTCATAGATTTGTCTATCTCCACTTGTTACTTTTTATACATCGACGTTAATAATGACTTCAACAATCGTATAGAAACTCAGGAAAGTTCATGATCATTTTGATATCTGAGCTGATTTTAGATCTTATCAGACTTATTTATTTCAGCGCTCACCTATAAGATTACAATCTAAGTAAGGGTAATTTTTCAAAATATCTTCGTAAACTTTGAACGTAACTTTTGATTGCAAGTTAAAAATAACTTTCGAAAAAAATAATGAAATTAGATTACGAAGAATGGAAAAATTTCATTCCAATTCATAACTCCACATACTTTTATTCACATCACTCAACTTACAAATTGAACCGTTAATTTTGTGTCTCACAGTATGCGTAATGCTTTCAAACAACTAGATCAGAGTTCATTGGTTGAAAATTTCAAAGTTTATCAATTGTTGTATTATTCTGCATTCAGTATTACTGGTAGGTAACAAATTCTACGGTAATGTAGTTTAATTTTCAAATCAACTACTTTGCTAGTTGACTTGGGATTATTAACAAAACCAAACTTTTTTAAAAATGCTATACATTTCGTTCAGTATTTTGATGATGGCCATAAGTGATTTTAAAGATACACGTTCTATCCTACTTGCAATTTTCCGAGAATATCGAAACCTCTAATTAAGATCTTAATGTAAACAAGTCATAATCATGAATATGTCCATTTCTAGTGTTCAATAACAACAAACTATCGCTCTAATATACTATGGTCTTTCAGTTGATATCAGTTTGGCTTCAGAGTCATCTTTAATGTAATATTCAATGTAATATTCATACAAATCAACTAGAAACTATCTAAATTCGTTTTGCTAATTACTTTCAATGTATCGTCAGACCTGTGTTTATATTCTGAATTTTTCTAGAATATTTAATTATTATCTGATTTAAATTAATAACAAGTTTGTTTGCTTCAGACAATGAGGGATATGTCGCTAAATTTCGTGGATTAGTTGAAGTTAGACATTAGCAACTTTGGATACCAGCTTAGCGGTTTAGAGGTTAGGCGTTTGCGCGCAAGACTGATAAGCCCTGGGTTCGAATCTCGCGAGGTGAGATCGTGGATGCGCACTGCTGAGGAGTCCTACAATAGGACGAAACGGCGCTTCAGTGTTTCCAGGTTCTCCATGGTGGTAAGGATTTAATTGACTCATGATCTCAACTATTGAAGTTCAATTTGTCAGTTGAATTAAATTCGAAAAGTTTCGATTTTATTGGTCAGATGATACGAAGTGAATGATTCTTTTTCTCGTAATCCTATTGGTCAACTACTTCCGACTAATACATTATGAATTGCAGTGATAGACTATTATTAGTATTATTTTATTGGCTGATATATTTCGATGATATGATTGGCTGATTGTTCAAATAAAACTGTGATTCATTTCAAAAATGATATTTATGGTGCACTTCTGTAGAATCCCTCGGGAGTGTTTCCCTTTTGGATGCACCGAAAGGAGCCATTTTATGATTCGTATCCTGTATTGTCCATACTTGCCTAGTCATTGAAGTAACTTTATATTATGAGCTAGGATTATTGGCTATGAAAAGAAATGTAGTATATGGTTAAGGAGGTATAATCAAATGTAACAGGTTTATCATATTCTGTGGACTCGGTTATTTGTGTTTTGTTACACTTTCTAAGCTAAAAAATTGTATGAAACCAATTACTTTTATTGCTTTCCGTGCGTCTTTTGATATTAAATAAATAATTACTAATATGCAGTTCTTACTTGTCTTGTATCTAGTCGTGCCGAGATAATCTGTTTCTTTTTGTTAGGGATATAATTCAGATTGGAAAATTAAGGATCTTTGCAATTCATAAATTTAAGATATCATTCGTTATTACTTTAGTGGCATCATCCTTTTCCTACCTCATTACATAGTTATTGATTATGTATACTCATAAGAAACTTCCTCAATTTTTTGGATATTTGGTTAATTCATTCAGAACTATAAGTATTATTATGACTTAAAATTCGAAGTATTGTAACTTGCGATTCCAAAGAATCATATGATCGAATTTTCAGTAATTAAAATTAAATAGGCCATACATCTATCTAAAAAAAAACTTATATTAATTCAGTATTTCATTTATTTTGATCGGATTCACAAAATTTGTGGATTAGTGGTAATTAGCTTATAACTTATCTCAATAGTTGGTATCATGATTCGATTGAAGCTAGACCACCATGGAAAACTTGGAAACACTGAACAGCCGTTTCGTCCCCTTTTAGGACTCCTCAGCAGTGCACATCCACGATCCCGCCCTGCGAGATTCGAACTCAGGACATATCAGTCTCGCGCGCGAACGCTTAACCATTATACCACTGAGCTGGCATCCAATAGTGTTAGTGTCTAACTTCAACTAATCCACGAAATTGAGTGACACATCCACCATTGTCTTCATTGAGTTACTATCTCACAACAGACTCGGTTGAAATCCATTGGTCATTGCTTCCTACTATAACTATAAGAAATACCTGTTGAATCCAGTCACTAGTGAGTATATGTTGATCCATAACAGAAAGGGGTTTTTGTGGCTATTATTTCCACGGTGATCTAGCTTTAATTGACTTATGCATCTTAACTATTAAAATTACTATAATACAACTTATCATTTTAGTCTAGTAAACATCAAAAACACTCGGATAGTCTTAAAACAGATTAACCGTTTTCAATCCATTAAAACAACAGAATGGAGAAGAAATTTTATAAAAAAATGATACTTAAATGTCTTTAAAAAGAAAACTTACCAGAAAGTATATGCAATACAATTGATATATGATAAAATATACCTTTACGTTTAATATTCAATGAGAATATCCCACTTAATAGTAAACAACTTCCAATTATTGCTAAGATCAGTCCAATCAAATCTAAGATAATAATGATAAGTACTTTAACTAAAAAAAAAAGAGATAAAATTCAATCGATTATTATGTAAACAACATTTTAGAGAATACCATAAAACATATGTAATTCATAATATGGAATTGGTAACAATGATAAATAGAAACATCTCATGATATTTGACCATTTTATAGTTAGTTATAATCTGATGTATTTAGATAATAGTAGGTTTGATTGATTGGAACTAGAAAAGAAGGCCCAGGACAGAGTAAGTTATAGAATGCTATTCGGAAGCCTATGATCCATTAGGAGTAACAGGCGTAAGTAAGTAAAAGCTTTGATTGATTAGTGAAAGAAAACAGATATATGTACACATTATACGTCACATATTATTTATATTTGCTAAGTTTGAAGCTATCACGGGTTCACTTAATCTGCGAACGAGAAACAAGACTCGGTAGTCAAAGACCAGTAAGCTAGCTGTCGATGCGTCCCAGACCCGCTTTCTAGAGGGAGGAGTCCAAGCTAAGAATGGGAAGTATATTCTATAACAGCCAGAAAACGATCGATCTCATCAAACACAATTTAAAAACGTATATATACAAATATATATAATCGATATTGCCATGGAGCTTTTAAACATTTAATCAATAAGTTCGTCCATTGACTGCCATTGTAATATTTAAACATTTAGTCGATAAGTTCGTCAACCGACTATGTACGTGGGTGGTAAGGAATGCCTAAGCGTACATCTGCATACAAACTCCACAGGTTAAAATTAAAAACTGAGTTTTCGGGATCTATCGCCCCCAACAGTATTGTAAATGACTTGTATCAGTTTTCGTTTATAATCAATAAATATGATTCTTAACGAGTGCTTGTCATCATATGAATTAGCATAATTTACATTATAACACTATTAAACTTGTATAACTACTGTGGTATGAGCTACTTATATCTACACAAGTAGTATATAACGATAGTTAGGGATAGACTGTATTTCAATAGATGATTGAGAAGAAAACAACGGAAACAGAAGGCGATTGGTATGAAAATTCAGGAACAATGAAATTTGAGACTATGGACTGATATTTACAAACGAAACAGTCAAGTTTGAAACAATGGAGATTGATATTTTGCAAACGAAGTATTTACTGTATGATTCTCAGATTTCAGTGAGATGTTCTGTAACATATTCGGCTGTCTGCACTTGTATTCTTGTTCACTACACTATAACTTCTTTTATTTAACAAGGTATAAAACGAAATAGAAGATGAAATACTATTTCGAACATATTAATTCAGCAGATCAAATATGTATAATCTAGAAGGTGAAATGAAGTTTGTTATGGGAAATATTTATATATTGTCGACTGTACCGATAGTTCTTACGTAGAAAGAATACAAACTTGGTCGATAGCATTCGATCTGCACTGACAAGGAATTGATACACATGACATTGATCACCACACAGTGATCAATCAATTGTGATTACATCTCAGACTGGATTATTTGTCATATACTGTCCAAATATGAATAAGTTGACACAAAAGTGTACGAAGCAACCACAAGATTTTTATATCGGTGTATTTGTAAAACTTCGATGAATGTGCAAATTGTCGACATGTTTCCATAAGTCTAAACTATTGTTGATTAGCTATTTACATTTTGCTTCATTTTCTATTACTCTTGATTTAATTAAACATAAACTGACTTCTTATATGCGATGTAATGTACTCAGACAATTCATGTATATAAATGTTCGAAATATATGAAAAGAGGGTTAATTTGAACTGAAAATTGGGGTAGAGGAAGATGTGATTTCTTAACCAATAGTAGTTAACAATTTCCTTAGTCACTGTTGAGTGTATTAGGATTTCTCAGTTATCGTATTATTGATCGAGATGAATATCATCCATTAGATCGGAGTTGTTGGGTTGGTTTACGAGAACTACGACAGAACCTCCAGAGACCCTAGAGAATCTGAAGAGTTCCATCCAATCGGAACACAATGAAGCTTTTTAGAATGTCAACGTGGTATGCTACTATTAGTTAGTATTATAAAATGCCTCTTCGCGGATTGTTTGAATTATTACGTTGATATAATAAACTCTAATGTTGATAAATACCCATCATTTTCTGTACATTTTGACTCTTGTGCAAAAAGTACTTTCTCTAGTTTTTTACTCTCGTTTTATTTGTGACTTGTGGGGATATAGCGTTCGAGTGCTCAAGTTATACGCGGTATATTAAGAATCTAAGCTTGCAATTATAACATTAGTAAACCAAATTTATGATTCTATCAAGCGGGAAATATAAGAAAGCCTGGAATCTAGAACAATATTCAATTATGATTAATTTATATCAGCTCACATACCATTGAGTTTGTTCATATTTAATAAGGAGTTAAGTTCTTTTGTTAACACTTATTAAATGAATAGTCATTCGTACAATAACAATAACTTATCTGTCCAATTGTACCTTAATTATTGTTGCACTTGTATGAATATGAAGGATTGAGTATTGCTTACTGTCTATACATATATTCATTCTGCTAATCTTACTATAAGCCGCTTAATTGATTCGATGATTCATTCATTTAACTATGTATATATGTACATTTTTATCGTGTTCATTGATTCACCGACTCACATGCCTACTTGCTTTACGGCACTACTCTTTCATACTTGCTTAACATACCTGCAAATTTTGGTTATCTATGAATAGTACTGTAGTATCTGTTATTATGTTAAGCCCATATAACTTATTCTGGGCTTTCGGACAGCTCAATCTATTCATTCTACTTGAGTCACATTCTGATCTTGTTAATAATTATCTGCTCATCAATCTTGATTGTTTTTATATGAGCGCGTAGGTGTGTGTACACTTCTTATTCCATTACTCATCACCTGTGTATAATTTATTTTGTGTAACTATAAATATTGATTAACGCTTGGTTAAATGGGAGTTGGCTTACCCACGACCTCCGCTGCGCGCGTCGTTTCTCTTCTCTTTATTTCATTCGTTTCATATACTAAATATATGTATCTAAAAGTCCATTCTCATTATTTGACTTATTTAATTCCGTTATTGACTAACGCGATTTAAGTCGATGATTATATACGAGGATAGGCGATAACAAACATTCATTCGATCTACTTGGAGTCAGATCTCGGGTCACTAAATTGGAGAGCCCTTCAACAAATCTCATCCAATCTAAATGACGAAAAAATAAAGGGCTTCACAATACAATAATCAATTTAAACATTTCATATTCACTTCCTGATTATTATACCTTTGGGAATATCTAATGACGATTATTAGCTTGCTTATTTACTCACGCCTATTACTCCTCGTGAACGAGCATAAGCCACTCAATAGCATTTGTCATCCAACCTTGTACTGGGCAATTCTTTCCAGCTCTTTCCAGTTGTTATTCATCTTTTTCATATCCGCTGCTATTTCCCGACGTAATGTGTTATTTGGCCTTCCTCTTTTCCTCTTCCCTTCAGGATTTCAAGTTAGCGCTTGTCTCGTAATGCAGTTTGATGATTTCCTCAATGTATGTCCTATCCATTTCCATCGTCTTTTCCTAATTTCCTCTTCAGCTGGAAGCTGGTTTGTTCTCTCCCACAGAAGGCTGTTGCTGATGGTATTCAGCCAATGGATGTTGAGTATCTTGCGTAGACATCTATTTATAAATACTTGTACCTTCTTGATGATGGTTGTAGTAGCTCTTCAAGTTTCATCTCCGCACATTAGAACTATGTTGACGTTCATATTGAAGATTGTGACTTTGGTGTTGGTTGGAAGTTGTTTTGAGTTCCATATGTTCTTCAATTGTAGGAATGCGGCGATTGCTTTGCCAATCCGCGCCTTTACGTCCGCCTCTGAACCTCCTTGTTCATTGATGATGCTTCCCAGGTATGTGAAGGATTCCACGTCTTCCAGAGTTTCGCCATCAAGTGTGATTGGATTGGTGTTCTCCGTGTTGTATTTGAGGACCTTGGTTTTTCCTTTGTGTATGTTGAAGCCTACTGATGCAGAGACTGCTGCTGCTATGCTGGCTGTCTTTATCTGCATTTGTTCGTGTGTATGTGATAGGAAGGCTAGGTCATCTGCGAAGTTCAAATCGTCTAATTAGTTTTGAGCTGTCCAGTGTGGGCCATGTACTACATTGACAAATTTTAAAGACTCTATTGAATGCAAACAATTACAGAATTGTTTACCATTAAAAGAATCTAAAAGGTAAACAAGCAGCAGCAGACGTAGGTCTCAATATACACAAAAGGGAAAAAAAGATTCTCCGATTCAACACAATATGCACAAATCCAATGACAATTAACGGAGAAGATTTGGAAGATGTAAAAACATTTACATATGTGGTCAGCATCATCGATGAACACGGTAAATCTGATGCAGATGTGAAGGCGCGGATCGGAAAAGCAAGAGCAGCATATTTACAAGTGAAGAACATCTGGAACTCAAAACAATTGGCAACCAACACCAAGGTCAGGATTTTCAATACAAATGTCAAGACAGTTCTATTGTATGGTATGGAAACCTGGAAAACCACGAAAGCCATCATCAAGAAGATACCGGTGTTTATTAACATTAGTCTACGCAAAATACTTCGAATCCGTTGGTCGGACACTATTAGCCACAACCTACTATGTGAGAGAACAAACCAGATCCCAGTGGAGGAAGAAATCAGGAAGAATCGCTGGAAGTCGGTTGGACACATATTGAGGAAAGCATCCAACTGCGTCATAAGGCAACCCTCATCACTTGGAATCCTCAAGGCCAAATGAGGAGAAGAGGAAGACCAAGGAATACATTACGCTGAGAAATGCAGACAGACATGAGAATGATGAACAAGAGATGGATGGAACTAGAAAAGAAGGTCCAGGACAGAGTGGGTTGGAGAGTGCTGGTCGGCAGCCTTTGCTCCATTAAGAGTAACAGGCGTAAGTAATTTAGTTCAGCATCATAAGCTTAGTTTGATTGTAACAGATGATATCGTTTTAAACACAGACTGGAACTGTTTGACTAACCAATGATTAACTGATTACCATCCATATTTATTAGTGTAACCTTTCAAATTGAATACTTCTTGTTACGTTCTTAATCCATCTACCAACTGATATATAAGAGAGAATTTGTCTCTATGTCGTTTTAAGCCTTGACATGACAGGTTATATTTAGTTCAACTTTGAGGCTAGTGATACGTAAGTTCAATTCATGAATAAACGGCCTTAGGGGCAGAGAGACTAACATCATCAGATATGTTGATGAGGGAAAACGAGAGAGAGAGACAGGACAGAGTGGGTTGGAGAATGCTGGTCGGCGGCCTATGCTCCATTAGGAGTAACAGGCGTAAGTCAGTAAAAGATAAACAAACAAACTTACTATTTAAGAAATCACGAAATTGACAAACTTTTTCAATCTCATTTAATCCATTATGATGATCCTTTGATTGTTTTAATAAACTATCACATTGTTGAAATAAAGCAATCGATTTAAAATCAATATATATCCATGATGTACTGACTGAACCAATAATAAATAATAATATACTTAATAATGATAATAATAAACCTAAAATCTAAGAAAAAAGAAAAATACAAAATAGAAAAAAGAAAAGAAAAACACTTTTGTTATAATTTGTGACCTGAGTGTCTTGTTAATGTATAATGTAACGATACGATACCACCAATTAGAGATCAGTGACTTATCTACTGGATCAATGACACGTAAAATTCATACGATCAGTTTAGAGTCCTTATCGGTCCTGCTTTCTACCTAGCCCATCCTGTTACGTCCAGAACACCAATCTCAGCCTCTGCAATATGAATCATTATATTTCAAACATACTAGGTTTATATACAAACCAAATAGACCATATCGTAACATAAAATAGGAAACAACATTTTACAAGATCAAGTCAAATGTGGCTGTGAATAAGGGAGATAGTAATTGATAGACTGAGTATAACTCAAGAATGGAAAATCGTATAATAACAGTTCATAGGTTAAAATAAATCTTATGATAAGAGAGACATGAATATGAATAGTTTAGTTACTTAATAATTATACAATAAAAATATACATATAGTATTAGTCCATAGATGGCTCCCAAAAGTTACCATTCGTTATGCTTATCGGGGCATAACACTATGAAATCATTTTTTTACCACTTATTAAATAATTAAAAATATGAATAAATATATAAACTTAATTAGTGAATAATATTTTTTTAATTTAAACTGATCGATAGGTTCTGAGTTCCAATCCTATGGAGCGGGATCATGGATTGCTAGGTTTGAATCTATTACGAGTTCAATTAATATGCGAACGAGAACAAAGACTCGGTGACCAGATACCAATAAACTAAATATTCTGATGCGTCCCAGACCCGCTAACTAGAGGAAGAAGTCCAAGCTTGGAATGGGGAAGTATATTCTGCAAACAGCCAGAAACAAACACAAATCATAACGTATATATATATATATATATATATATATATATATATATATATATATATATATATATATATATATATATATATATATATATATATAGGACAAAACCGTCCTTGGGTAGAGCTACCAAACTGCATACTAAAAGGCGCAACGGACCGATAGCATTTAAGATATTTCTCAAGTGGGAAATACGACATGAAGATGACAACAGAGCTTTTGGCTCAAAAACAAAGAATTTCAAATTTTCTAAATAAAACTACAAAATCAGGTTCTTTTCCAAGTGAGTTCTGGTGATCTAACGCCCTCAACATTAATACACACTGCTGAGTAGTTCCACAATAAGACAAAACGGCCTTCCAGTACTTGCAAGTTTTTTCACGGTAGTCTATCTTTAATTAATTCATAAACTCAACTATTAAATTATTTAAATAACGTTGTTATATTAGTTCTTTTATTTCCACTCTCATTATTTATATTATTTTAAAGAAATAAGTAAATAACTGAACAATTTTGTTGTTACATAAATATAGAGAGAAAAATATCGTACAACTAATCCATTTAATTATAACTATATATAAATTTGCCCCCAAATGTCCTTTTACGGCCGAGAGTGGGGTGGGTTCGCTCTCCCTTTCCAAATGCTCTCACATATCCACGCGTATATAGCTACTGCCAGGGAAGTCCTACTCACTGCACTACCTTCTCGTGGCATTACTGTTGTTTACGAAAATGAGAGGACGAAAAGCGGATTTCCGGCACTTTAACCGGATCCCAAACCAATGGTGCACATGGGCTCCAGTATCCTGAAGGAACAAATGGTGTATGAACCAATCGTTGGTCACCGGCTACCATGGGACTGCATCTCCTTACGATGCTCCACTGCCTTGTGGGTCAGATCTTCAGGTCGAAGGCTTGGATTGTGGCCCCCTAAGAAAACCACTTGCTTTGGTTTGGGAACCCGTGCAGTATCACAGTCCTCACACATATCCAATGAGATTTGTGTGGCGCATATATATTTGGTGCCTCCTTGTACCAATATCTGTATGTTAAAATAAAATAAAAAAATAGTAAAGAATCTCATTTTAGTTCCTCTTAATCTAATTATGACTTATGTTAAATGGTTGGCGATAAAATAAACACCAGTAATCAATCTCTGGTTGAAATATATGAGTAACAGATACTGTTTGTTCCTTATTAATATGCAATTAATCATTGCCTACTTTAATATGTAGTATTGTCTAGAACAAGAGTAAGTTGAAAAAGCAGACTAAAGGTTATCCAATCATGATGTAGTATAAATGCATATAAACATTGATTTTTTTAAAGCTAGTGATGCTGGTAAGTACAAAGTATCCAATTGAGTAGTGAGCAATGACGGATAGTGGCTAGCAGTGGAATCCAGGACAAAGCGAGTTTCGTCTTATTTGGGACTCGTCAGTTGGATGTACCTGCATCTGAGAGAGTTGATGTTCACTGTGTGACTCGAACCCAGTACCATTCGCTTGAAACGCCATCGCGTGATCCACTCAGCTACTGAGTTCTCATAGCCACTTGCTTGTGCAATGTGGTGAAGTTGAAATTCACTTAGTATTGTTTATGTTGTATCTTCCCATTGAGGTTTAAGACTGCAATTGATCAGTCTGTTATTGGCACTGCTAGCCACTATCCATCATTGCTTACCACAAAAAGCTTGTGAATTAAGACAATATCGAGGCATACACACAGTATGCATATATGCCAATAACAGACTGATCAATTGCAGTCTTAAACCTGAATGGGAAGATACAAGCAAAACAATACCAAGCATATCCAATTGAGATTAGTAAAATGATCATGATCGATGATTAAAGGTATGGTTATAATAATTCAATTGGATTTACTCTACATTTTCAATGATCATTTCATTTTGTTTTATTGAATTCTATGTTCAATGTTCAATCTTATTAACTGTTATTCATATCAATCATTATTTCAGTTAATTTACAATTCATCTTATTCATTTTATCTTGGTATATTCATCATTGGATATGGTCATTTAATCAAATGTAAAATTCAATATGAATTATAATTGATTAACCTTCTTAACGAATTGAAATTGATTAGTCAATTTCGTGGAATGGTTGAGGTTAGACAGTAACATCAATAGATGACATCCGGCTCAGTAGTTTAGAGGTGAAGCGTTTGTGCACGAGATTGAAGGCCCTGTATTCGAATCCCGTGAGCGAGATCGTAAATTGACACTGTTGAGGAATCCCATGATAAGACGAAATGGCTGTTCAGTGTTTCCAGGTTTTCAATGGTAGTCTAACATCAATCGATTCACTATCTTAATCAACATCTGGCAATCCATACATAATTATCTACCTATTTAATGATACCATGTCAACCACTACTTTACTAATAAATTCTATTTTAACATTAATATGGTTGATTGTATTTTAAATCTACTGTCTCTTCATCGGTTCTATTTTCTCTTAGACTATGTATTCAAATAACTTATCCAATAATTTCAGGTATCATAGATGCTAAATTCACTTAGTATTGTTTACTTGAATCTTTCTATTGATGATTAGGACTGCAAATGATCAATCTATTATTGGCATATGTGCATACTGTGCATATTGCCTCGATATCGCCTTACTTCACAAACATCCATCTTTACTTATGATGCTTGTGACTCAAGGCAATTTCGAGACAGTTTGCATAGGATGCATATATACCAATAAAAGACTGATCATTTACAGTCTTAAACAACAATGAGAAGATACAAGTGAACATCATCAAGTGAATATAGCTTCACCCAATTGCGCAAGAGATTGGCTATTAGGACTCAACAGCTAAGTGGATAACGCGATAGTGTTTGAAGCGAAAGGTACTGCGTTTGAGTCTCAGAGTGAACATTAACCCTGAGAAGCAAGTACATCCAGACGCCTAGTCCCAAATAGAACGTAACGCGCATCCTGGTTTCTACTGCTAGCCACTATCCATCTTTGCTTATTAAAAATGTTGTTTATGAGCAGGTAATTCTCATCGTTGAAAAAAACATTACAAGTGAGCATTAACAATAAGAGTAGACAGTAAATACAGTTCATCATATAGTCGAATATTCCGATACAACACAACATGCACGAATCCAATGTCCTTAACCTTTCTTTCTAGTTCCATCCATCTCTTGTTCATCATTCTCATGTCTGTCTGCATTTCTCAGCGTAATGTATTCCTTGGTCTTCCTCTTCTCCTCATTTGGCCTTGAGGATTCCAAGTGATGAGGGTTGCCTTATGACGCAGTTGGATGCTTTCCTCAATATGTGTCCAACCGACTTCCAGCGATTCTTCCTGATTTCTTCCTCCACTGGGATCTGGTTTGTTCTCTCACATAGTAGGTTGTGGCTAATAGTGTCCGACCAACGGATTCGAAGTATTTTGCGTAGACTAATGTTAATAAACACCGGTATCTTCTTGATGATGGCTTTCGTGGTTTTCCAGGTTTCCATACCATACAATAGAACTGTCTTGACATTTGTATTGAAAATCCTGACCTTGGTGTTGGTTGCCAATTGTTTTGAGTTCCAGATGTTCTTCACTTGTAAATATGCTGCTCTTGCTTTTCCGATCTGTGCCTTCACATCTGCATCAGATTTACCGTGTTCATCGATGATGCTGACCACATATGTAAATGTTTTTACATCTTCCAAATCTTCTCCGTTAATTGTCATTGGATTTGTGCATATTGTGTTGAATCGGAGAATCTTTTTTTCCCTTTTGTGTATATTGAGACCTACTGCTGCTGCTGCTACACTTGTTTTCTTCTCCTGAATCTGGTGTTGCGTTTGCGATAAAAGAGCCAGATCATCTGGTCAGAATTGCAAGCAGATATAAAAAGAATGAAAAGAAACTGGATATAACCCCAAAGGATTATTCAGAACAGAGTTGGATGGAGAATGTTGGCGGGTGGCCTATGCTCTTTCACGAGAATTAACAGGCGTCAGTAAGATATTGTGCAATAAATTAATAATGGTTAATGAAATTTATCATAGCAACTGAAAGTGAATCCAAATAAATTATTTTGCTTACACTAACTTATTATAATAATATCAGAGCGATTAATGAAGTAAATGAAAGCT